TAGATATTAATTTAAATATCTTTTATGCCTATAGCCGTTAAAAACTTTTTAATATTGTGTAGATGATTATTGTCTCTAAGAAGGTCGCCTATGTCGCTGGGAAGGTTGAGTTTACTTCTGGTTTCCTGGAAAATTTGACATTCGGTTAAAATATGTTTAACTGTATTGTTGGTTTGACACTGGTTGCAGTATGGAGGATTGTCTCTTGTAATTCGGTAAAGATGTGTATGACAGGTGTGACCAATTCGAAGTCGAGAAAAGATGACTTGTTTTTTCCTCGGTAACACAAAGGCTTGTTTTTGTAAAACATTGTCTTTAATTTGCCTTAGTTTTTCGGAACACTGCGACCATTTGTTTTGCCACGCACAACTAACTATGTTTTTTAAGCACAATTTAAGATCACTTGGCACTATTTTATTTAATTGCACTTGACCATCACTTGTCGCTGCTTCGTGAGCTAGACGGTCCACAACCTCGTTACCATGTATTCCAATATGAGATGGAACCCAGATTAATACCACATGTTTATTTTCCTTTGCAGCATTTTGAAGTTCTTTGTAAATGTCTTTATGAATAGGATTGCTGGAGTATATGTTTTTGATGTCACAAAGAGCATTCATTGAGTCAGTTATGATTGTATAATTTCTCTGGTCCGTTGTGTTAATGAACTTTAGAGCTTCAAGGATTGCGTATAGTTCTGCGTTCGAGATAGTCCAGTTGTTATGCAACTTAAATTTAGCATTATGAATATTACAGAAAATGGCTGCGCCGACTCCGTCCGTTGTTTTTGATGCATCTGTGTAGATCTGTTGGTAGTCGCTAAATCTATCCATAATATCTTTGAAGTTGTTTATTAATATGGCTGGTGGGGATTCATGTTTATTAAATTTTGATAGGTCAGTAATTACTGGTGGTTTCAATATATTTATTATTAATATATTTATACTTAATTTACTTTATAGTAACCCCTGAAACTACATTGAGAAGACTGAAGAAAACTTCTGTTTCTGAAAAACGTTAGTCGTAATTTACAAAATTTAACGTGGCTAACTTCAAAAACTGCCTGACCCTCAATCAAAGATCTCTGCCAACCTTGCAACCATATAAATAATTGAGATAATGTAAATTTTACTTCCCGTATTTCAGACTGTAAAGAAACTTCAATTTTATTTTTATTCAGGTTTGGGAGTCAATTATCTTATGTATAAACTCGAATTACAAATAATCTTTTAACTCGAATAAACTTTAAAGAACGTAGTCCAACTTTTACTTTGGACTTCCCAAAACACACGTCTAAATGATTTATATTAAACGTTTTATAGCTTCGAGATCTAATTACAAAATGATTTGTTTTCCCGAAGTGATCATCCATCTTTGAAATCTTGAGCGCCCCCTGTCGGAATTGGCTATTGCGAATACTTAAAAAATGCTGAGTTGAACTTTCACGTTACAAACGATTTAAAACATGTAAAACTCCTCTCTTTTTAATTTAATTAGTACGTTTTTAAAAACTACCCAACTTCTGCTATTTACACTCAAAACCATCTTCTTGGAGGCGTTTTTCCTGACGTGTGATAGTTTGTAATGTAAAAGTTGTAAACAGTAAAGATATAATATAATGTTAACACCTAAGATAAGACACAAAAACAAGAATCTATAAAGCAGCAATTAGACCTATATTAACATACATGGCAGAGGCAAGACCTGGCACATCTAAAATGAGACGACCACTAGAAGCAACAGAGATGAAAATACTCAGAAAAATATCAGAGAAAAGTCTGTTGGATAGGGAGAGAAGCCAAAACATAAGAAGAGCATGCAATATAGAAGACATAAATGGATGGGTGACAATACAAAAACAAGAGTGGAATGAACACATCAGTAGAATAGCAGAGGATAGAATAGTACGAATAGCACGAGATAAGTCACCAAATGAACAAATAAGTCAACAATAGTCAGTAGGAGACGAAGAAAAAGATGGTGCGACAATTTAAACAATTTAGGAGGCTAATGTTGAAGAAGAAACAGACTTTAAAGCCTACATACAAGAAGGAAGAAGAAGATTTTATTATGGATTTATAATCCAAGTGGCTCATTCTGATTATTTATAGATCTGTTTTATTCCTTGCCGCCTTGGTTACCTCTAAATTATTTCTTTATATCAATAACCTAAACTCTCCCCACTTCTCCTTCTCAGTTATTCTTATTTCATAACATTTACGTATGTTTCGTGTTTAGGTCTAAAAAAGTGTTTAACTAAAAAAAAAGCAAAATGTTTCAATCGTATTTTTTTTAATGTAGTATGCCTTTTTTCTCAATTTAGTATCAAGTTCTACTCGTCCTTACAATTAAGTCTTTGAACTTCGATGTGTAGCTATCCTACTATTATTTCGGAGGGTTTTAGGTTTTCTAGATATATTTAGTTTTTCAGACCTTGCAGTTTTTGCGAGCCTCTCATCATTCATTCTAGTAACGTGGTCTCTCCACTTCCTACGTCTCTGGTTACATTTCATCTTACGTTACCTCAGACTCCACATTGTTCTCTTATAAACTAATTCCTTTTTAAGTCCCTAACATTGTTACCAGCAATAGATCTTAGCTCGTATTTCAGTTTCTAACGATGGCACTGTTCAGAAATGTAAAATAATGAGAATTATTTAAATTTGCCGCGCATTTGTAGACGGGGCTTTAGCTGTATTGGCGGTTGACACTTCATGTCTTGCCGAAAAAGAGAAGAATCGTCACCCGCCAGCCGAGAGTGACAGTCGGTCGAATATATAGGTTGAGGTTAAGATATAGCATGTCGACGATATAGTCGATTTATTTTTGTTATAAGAGTTTGAATAATAAATTTGGTATCTGTGCACATATCCTTTAATTTTACAAGAGATACAGTCCACTAGCGAAGTTAAACCAGCGCACCAGTTACAAAGGCGAACAGAATCATTCAAGAAAACAAGAATGGTCTAACCTACGCCAACATAAAACAGGCACCATCAGCGCTTGCCACTGGCTGGACCTCTCTCTCTCTATGTCCTTACTTCCACCATAAACCTACCCCTAACCTTGATGCGCGCTGAAGATAGAATACTGACAAAATATAAAATGCCGTGAACTACGACAAGGAACTGAAATTGATTCAAAGTATTGATCTGTTTTTTTTAGAGCGTTTTCCTCAAGTAATAATCGTTCGCTTCCATTCCTCGCCTGGATCGAGTACAAATCCATCGATTTCGCCCCACCTTTCGCCTAGGCTGAGTATTGATCAACAATTTCCACTTTTTTTGGGTATTGACTATAGACCGTCTCTAACAATACCCAACCAAATGCCGCCAATATTTATATTTTAACAGCATTTACAGATGATCGCAGCCCATCGATTTTATTTACAAGGATTCGTCTTTTTATTTTTATTATGCATATCATATAGAAGTAAGTTTTATTTTTGGTATTTATTTAAATATATTTTAATTTAAATTAAACCTACTTTTTTTGCGTCTAATATCTAATAGAGCTGATGTCACAAGTTGTCCTCACAGGAGCTTCTTGGTTGCAGCTGCTTCCGCTCTGGCCTCGATTGCATACGTCATTACTGGTCTTGCCATGTGATTGTTCCTTAAGTTAGTGTCACGGAGCTATCCAAACATCATTGCTGCTATATATTAGTCTGTGCTTTGACTTCTTTCTTAAGGTTTTTGCTATTGGTGCTGTTTACTCCTAGATATTTCAATTTCATAACATGCTTACCATTTTGATTATTTTCCGCTAGTTTACATCTCTTTGCTTCTCTGTTAATCATAAGGAACTCTATCTCTTCTCAATATATATAACGATATTAAATTTTTTGCAATGTTTTGAATTTATCTTCATGTATCAATATGTCTTATATAATGTCTATAGTAGCATATTTTAACTTGTTTGTTTTCTATTCTGTCACTTCTTCCTGCTATTTTAATTCTTTACGATCTCCTTTATCATCACGTAGAAGAAAATAAATGAAATGAGGAAAATTTAAGCAATCTCTTTAGTATCGTTATTTTGTTCCTTATTTTTGTTTTAGAATAATAACCTTGACCTTGACTTGACCAAACCATTGCAGTCTTTATTCTTAAATATTTTCTGGGACTTTAGTCACTTGATCCTATCCTTTCTTCTTCTTCTTCTTAACATGCCATACACCAAAGTGCGTAGGCGACTATCTCATTACTAGAATTCTGTTCTTGGCGGCGTGACACAGCTCGACTGTATTGTGTATTCATGTCCATTCTTTAATATTCCTTAACCAGGATAATTGTTTCTATCCTTTCTAGTCTTATATAATATTCACCACAACAATTTTATTTCAGCTACCTTCATCTTCTTTTCATAAATTCTCTTTACCTTCCACACTTTACCACCGCACACCAATACATGCCTTACCACCCTCTTCTATATTTTTCCTTTGCGCCCTTTTTCGATTTCTAATCACAGTGTACGCTCATTTGCTTCCATTTAAACCACTTAGCCATTTTTATTCCTCTCAACCACGTATACGCCGTTTTTGACCTAATAACCTAAGTTCTCAATCTTCAATAGACCTCCTCCACCTCTTTAACTTCTTCTTCAACGATCCTTTGCTGTTTTTCACTATCGTTTTAAAATGATGATAACTAAGTGTTATTGTTTTTAAATAAGTGATATTACTTTTGTCTGCTTTTGTAAACACTATGTTGTTTTCTATTAATTTATTTTTAACTGAGATGGCTGTATGATTCTCTTTATACCAGAACTTTTTAGTTTCACTAAACACATTGGTAAGAGATTTTGCATCGTTTTAAACTTTTAATGTACTTATTATTTATAGTTTTAAGCTTGTAGAATAAATCGTACGCATATCTTGGACTTGTTCATGCACATAATGAATACATTTCAGTATAAATGTTTATTTTGGACGATTTTCAAGAAATTTGTTTAAGAGCGAATAAGGATTACAATTATTATATTAGGGAAAATATCGAAAAATGACCAAGTTTTTAACCAACGTTATTAAAATCAATAAAGTTGATAGTTATTTACACCACAGTCAGTGTCGATTAGTTCATGTCGAAAATTGTTAAGTTAATCGCAAAATTATAACTTCTAGAAAGTATAAATAAAATTCGCATATAATGCGTTATAATTATGATGTCTCTTTATTTATTTGTACTTGTACTAAACTGGACAAATTTATTTAGGTATTAAAAATACTAAAATAATCAATACAGCGACATTACCAGCGATAATTCCCATAAAGTGAAAGTGCAAAACAATCTATTAATCAGAAAGAGTTGATATTAATCCCTTGGGTCCAGGGCTTGACCAGCTGCATGCGGACGATCACACAAAAGGGGTAATTAGAGATTTCAGTTTAAATGGTGCAATATGCACGTCACATTTGTAAAGGATTAGGTGGGGAAAGTAAAAGTTCATTCTATTTAATAAGTAAATACTTAGAAGCTTAGCTAAAAATGCAAATAAAGTAACATTATATAATAAACTGTTTGCAACTTAAATTGTACTTACTCACGTAAATATTAAAACAATATTATAGGTTCAAGATGCAAAATTAATAGTTTGTGTATTTCATTTCTGTCTCTGCTTGTTAGCTAGATGATCGACGATGATAGACGATGATCAAATAAGACACATTTTATTTTGATAAAGTGATGCAAAATAATTATAAAGTAATTAATAGAGAAACAAATAATACAGCAAGTTAAAATTACAGTGGATCATGTCAAGCAACACTTAATTAAACTTCGCACAGCTGCTTCACCTGGTTTAGACGGTTTAACACCAAAACTATTAAAAATATGCACAGACACGCTTGCAATGCTCTTAACTTTAATTATGCAAACTTCTTTCATCCAAAACTCTTTACCCCCCAGTTGGAAATTAGCCCTATTTCTAGTTCTAAAAAAGGCAACAACCTCGAGCATAACAATTATCGTCCAATTAGCTTGCTGCCAGTTGTTATCAAAGTCATGGATGCCATTATTTCCGAGGAGATGACTAAATTCCTTCTCCAGGAATATGTTATTCCAACACAACAACATGGATTTTTCTCTGGTCGCTCTACTCTGACCAATCTCCTACATTGTGTTAACGACTGGACGTCATCCGTTCAACGTTTTTTATCTAGATTTCTCTAAAGCCTTTGTGGGTGTACCTAAGCGCAGACTTCTACATAAGCTAGAGTTGGCGAATCTTAGAATATGTGTTCTCGTGTAACGACCTTGCTGTTATCGTAAACAGCAGCCTAACATTGGTTCGATCATATCACCTCTGTTTGTAAACGTGCGAAGTCGAGACTGAATCTTATTCGGAGGTGTTTTTCGAGTGTTTCAAGCCAATCATTCTATAAACTTTACACATAAGTCCCATACTTAAATACGCTGGACGCACCAACGTGGTATCCTGATTTGGTTCGAGACAAGAGTTTGTTAAAAAACTTTCAAAGAAAAGCCACTCGAATTCCTTTGGAACCGAGAAGGCCTCGGTGCAGAAAGACTTATGGTTAGAAAGTATGGTTAACCTAACTTCTTTTGAACTTCGTTGACAACGTGGAGACTTACAACATTTAAAATATTAAAATTCAATTTAGGAATTCTCGTTAAAATGTTTACCATTATACAAAATAAACGCCTCAAGGGCATCGGTTTAAACTAAAAAAAGAAAAATTTTCTACAAGATCAAGACAGAATTTTCTACCAAACACAGTTTTTGAGTACTGGAATAACCTTAATGATGACATTGTCTCTGCTCTACCATTTCAACCAGTCAGCAGACTTGACCAATTATATTATAGTTAAAATATAGTTTTTATATAATTATCAAACTTGTCCTTCTTTCCTTGCTTATGTATAATAATAATAATAATAATTTATTTTCGGTTATATCTTTAGTATAAATATTTTTAACTTTGTCCATACTTTAGCCTATGTGTGTAATACGAATTTTCTTAATTCAATTTTTAGATTTTGTGAATTATATTTATAGAATTTCTAGCTTTATATTCTGACAATATTCATCTTTTCTCTAATTTCCTCTGTATCACCAATAGAATCGCTTTTTAAAATAGTAATCTATACCATATAGTAAAATAAATTCCATACATTTTGAGATGCATATTATTTGATTAATAAAGCAGCAAATATACAGGTTTCAAAACAAAATATTTACCAAGTAACTTCTTAGATTTAAACACAGATTTGTTTTAAAATTTTTATTTTTAATAAATATGTTATATGATGCTTAATATATAATCTAATATTATATATTTTTTCAGCAGCCAAGCTTCCAACATCTTCCATCACAGACTACCAAAGCTCTCCGTCGAATAACGTACCCCTAGATATCCAGAATCCAGCTTCACGAAGCTCATGCCTTGGTTCCAATGCAACAAGCCTTTTAAACCTCAATTGTTTAAACACCGGCAGAACGAACTTCACCAATAAACAATTAACAGAACTAGAGAAGGAATTTCACTTTAATAAATATCTAACGCGAGCGCGGAGGATCGAAATAGCTTCAGCCCTTCAGTTAAACGAAACGCAAGTTAAGATATGGTTCCAAAATAGAAGAATGAAGCAGAAGAAAAGGATGAAAGAGGGACTGATACCTCCTGAGCCCACTGTTGGTACAGGAAGTAACAGTAACTCTCCCACATCTGTCAATGCTTTACAAAATGAGTCAGTTGCTGGTAGCAACGAAAATAGTCGAGAATCAAATTGATTTGGTTTAGTTTTTACAAAAGGAATTGCAGTATTTGAACAAATTAGTTGAAAACCAAAGTAAATGTTCCTTGCCTTTGTTATTTTTAAATGTATTTTTTGACTTGAGAAAAAAAATGGGTAGAATAAATGATCATCAATATACATTTAGTACTTCCCTGAAACTGTCTGTCATCTTCGTTATGCATCTTAGGTATCTCATCTAACCTAAACCAACTAACCTGGATGCATATCGTTCCTAGTAAATGTATTTAATTTTTTTTAATTTATCTTTTTAAATGTATATTGTTTTTTTTTATAGATATTATGTTAATAATTATGTTATATTTTGTGTCAAGATATCAAATATTATAAATCTATATTCTCTGCTATTCGTAGTGGTATGGACAGCTTCCTACAAAGATCTGTGAAAGGAAATATCTTTTTCCGCAAATCGCCAGGAAATTTTGACATTCCTGTCAAAATTTCTTGAAGAAAAAATCAGGACTTCCTTACTGTAAGGAAATGATATTTCCGTACAGTTGTTAGTGTTAACCAGCCATTAAATTTATAAGCGTCAAGTTTGACAATTCAACCTCAATACGTTTCCATAGTAACCCAAGTAATTTTATTAGGAATTTCAAAGCACCATTTATTTGGGAATAAAATTATCGCGATTTTTTAAATCAATCAATATCTGTCGAATTTTAAACGATTTGCGGAAAAATAGTATGTTTACCTCGTAGGAAAAGCCACATTCCTGGACTCTGTGTTGCTAAGTCTCGGCTTGCGCCTCGACTTAGCAATCTTCACAGTCGTCCAGGAATGTTAAGCTTTTCCTACCCGGTAAACAATGTACTATTAATCTATACAAGAGTAGATTTTGCAATTCATACACAAAGTATTTGTTATTTTTTTAATATTTTTGGCATAACAAAATTAATTTATATTTTCATTAATTTTATAATAATTAACTCTTAAAACAAAAGATGTGTCTACATTATAATATAATGGGAAACATCCAGTACCAGAGACCCTCCGCAAAAATAGCTTACATAGAAATATTTATTTTGATTTTAGATGCATAATTTTAATCATAAAAGAAAACACTGATGCTACTTTTCTCAAAATTAATTTTTTAACACAAGGATACTTACAAAAATATTAAAAAAACTTAGAACTATTTAAAGTAAACACACTCATTTTCAATAATTTTATATTATATCAAGTTAGACCCCCATTACAGCACAATTAATGCATACTTTTTTTCTGCCTCTCCCCCCGCTCCAGTGTGTGTTGTTGTGGGGGATCGCGTTTGTGGTCATTCGATAGATTTGTGAAAAATATTAAACCTGTATTTTTCAGTTTCTTCTGTCAAATATGTTTTCTTCAGTTTCTTCCTTTTTTAAAATATGTACATGCGACTTACAATATATTTGTGAATCAATACCCATGTTTCACATCCATAGCTCAGTATTGGTCAGATAATAGTATTGTAGATTTGTGTTTTAGTTCTTTGATGTAAGTTTTGTGATTTAACTATCTGGTACATAATAGTAAAGTCATATCTTGAAAATCCCTTTAAGACAGATCCGGGAGAATTAGTAGGAATTAAATAGACTACATTTTAGTAAATAAAAGATTCCGAAACAGCTCTACATCTGTCAAAACTTATACTGGAGCAGACTTGGAGACAGACTACGTTCCACTGGTGGCAGTATTTCGAGTCAAACTTAAAACAGTGCAGAAAAGTAAAACTTAATCATATAAACCTACATATGCTGAAAGACCTTGATACGAGGAAGAGAGTCCAAGCCACGTTAAACGAGCAAGTGACTGCAATTAGAGACTAATCAAAAACGAAACAAATGATCAAACATGTTAAAGATATGGTATAAAATGTAACAAGGAAATAAAACAGGAATTAACAATCAAGATCTGAAAATAATTAGAAATCTTTACTGGAATCAGACAGCAAATCTCAGAGTTGAAGGTGAACTTACTGACTATGTGTCAGTGGCAAAATCATGCGTGGAGTGAGGCAAGGCTGTATTTAGTCTCCTCTAATCTTCAATCTGTACTCTAAAAGAACATTCATCGAAGCTTTGCACGAAACTGAAAAAGGTCTTCTACTAAATGGTTACCGGCTAAACAACATCAGATATGCAGATGACACCATAGTATTTGCAAAAATGCTTATGAACAAAATCACCTAATAAAGTCAACAATATGGACTCAATATAAACGTTAAAAAGACAAAGCTTATGATAATTAGCAAGAAAAGGATAACAGAAGGTCAACTCTACGTCAACCAATCCTCTGTAGAAAGAGTGACGCACTACAACTATCTCGGCACCATTATAAATGAAGAATGGACCAACAACCAGGAGATTACATAGATCCACCTTCAATTGGATGGGGGCTTTTTTCAACAGTCACAACCTCTCTCTTGATACAAAAGCAAGAAAGCTGCGATGCTACGTCTTCTCTGTCCTTTTTTATGGTGTTGAATCGGGGACATTGAACAAAGATATGTGCAGAAAACTGGAAGCATTTGAGATGTAGCTATATCGGAGAATGCTTAAGATCCAGTCGACTGACCGAGTCACAAATGAGAAGGTCCTTAGAAGAATGAATAAGAACCAAGAGGTACTGCCACCATCAAATCTCGAAAGTTACAGTTCTTCGGACATATTATGCGAAATGAATCCAGATATGCTCTCCTTCAAGCCATCCTGCAGGAAAAACTATTTGGAAAACGGGGTCCAAGAAAAATAAAAACATCTTGGTAAAAGAACCTTAGAATCTAGTTTAATACAACATCTGTGCAACCTTTCCGCTCTGCTGCAAAAAATATTAAGATTGCCATGATGATGGTTAACATTCGTAACGGATAGGCACGTCAAGAAGAAGAAGAACATAGTAAAGTGTGCCTTATGCTAAGCTCTGCATCATCAATGTTGTCCTTTGTGATGTTGACTCCTCAATAGATAAAGCTATTTACTTGTCAAAGTTGTCAACTGTCAAGTACAGTCATATTGCTATCTCTGATCGGGGTGGTATTAGGATGTTAGTTGACAAAAACAAAAATAGTGTACAACGACGTACTGGATGTCCAAGATGTAATAATAAGAAACAACACTGTATTTAAAAAAGTAGACGAGTATGTCGATATACCTAGGACAATTAATTCAGAATGAAACTAGCTTGGATATCTTTTGTTAAAAATACAGTTATATTTAAATCCAGTATACTATATACGGCTGCCAGACTTGGACACTATTATAAAGAGAGATCGAAAAGGATAGAATGAATCAGACAGAAAACCAAGGTCACTAATGCAATACACATAATTAGAAAGAACTGACAATATATGGTCCACTAGAATTACATTGCGGTATCCAAGAGGTGTCAAGACACCAAGAAGACGTTTAAACTTAAGATGGGACTATGACATAAGGAAACAAGCCAGTAAAACATGGCACAGGAAAGCGAATATTAGACAATCGTAGGTAGAAATGAAGAACGACTATGTAAGGAAGGCTGAACCATAATAAGAAGAATAAAAATGATGATGACGATGATGATATTGTTTCTACCTTCCGATGTTTTTTTTAACTACGCATTCCGGTGCTAAACTAAATAGTGTTGGTACTAGCCCAAAACCCTGCTTTAGTCCTTGTGGTATTTGAAACGGGTCTATTATCTCATGCTGTATCTGTATCTGAGACACTGTGTCCGTTATCGTCATTCGGATGAGCCTAACTAGTTTGGGCGGTATTTTAAATTCACCTAATGTTTTGTATTAATCTGCCCTCTTTATTGCGTTATATGCTTGCTTAGTAGACAAAATATTATAAACATCTACGTAATATTTCCAGGATCTACTTAAAACCTGCTTAACTGCAACTAGTTGGTCGATGGTTGATCTTTCTTGCCTAAGTCCTGCTTCATATTCTCCGATAATATTCTCTGCAAGGGGTTGTAGTCAATGTATACTGCTAAATATTTTAAATCCACAAGACAGCAAGAAAATTACTGTTAGGAGACTTCTTTGAGAGTTGTGTTAAGAGACATACGATAATTCGCAAATAATTTCTGTTCATATCTAGTAGACCTTTGGATCTCTTCTTGAGAGGTTAATGTATAAAAGCCTTTGAATTAATAATACCCATTTTTGCTCGTACCAGTGTTCACGTTTTATCCGTTTCACCCAGTCCAATACTGTCCTTTTGGCTGTGCTCTTACTATGTCGATGGCAGCTTCGGAGCCTCTGAATGTGTCTTTTACGACTCCCCTGACAGGTAGATCCACTTTTTCATTGCGTTCAATACCAATATACCCAGGCACCCAGAGTAAAGTGGTTTTATCTATTAGTTTTATCATTTAAAATGTTTATTAAGGTTTTTTTAATCCATCTTGTTTACTTTACAATCTGGAAAATTTTATAATAGGCAAATGTTAATAATAGTAACAAAATATTTAGGAAAACTGTCCACTGACCTTGCGTAAGGTTGGGTTTGGGAAACTAAACCACTACACTATAGAACAGTACTGAGGTTCAAGAATCTGACAGGTAGATCACATAGAAGATGCCTTCTTAACTTTCGCTGGAGAAGATGTCTCATTAGGCGTTGAGACAATGCATCTTGGTGATTTTCTATGCATTCGTCATAATTCTGGGAGAAGTAGGATATTTCTTCTTTCACTGATTTCATTTTAAGATTACGACCAATAAAACTGTTAGTTACCTACCATGGAGCTATTACGATAATCTAGTATCTTGGCCTGGAATCTTTGTAGGATTGCAATATTTGAGTAGGATGCTGTCCCGCACAATTTAATCTATAACTCCGAACCGGTTTTAGGATCACTTAGTAAATTAACAGTTTGTTGATGACGTAATTGTAATTTAAGTTTTAAATTAAGTTTTAAGCCCAGTTTCTTTCTCTCGGCAAATATATATGTTCTCCAAGTATATCGTCGGTCCAGATGGATTCCCAGATATTTTGTTTCTTCTTTTAGTTATAAGAACTGACTATTTAATGCCACAATTTCATTTGCTTTTATTCGCCAGGTTTTTAGTCAAGAAGAAATAATATCGAAGTGAGTCTACCAAATTTAAGAACCAATGACAGAATGTTTGTGAGATGCCATACAGCTAAATTACTATTTAACTGGGAATAAGCCACAATTAAAGATAAAAATACGTTTATTGACGTTTCAATTTCCACTTCGGAAATCGTTCTCAAAATACAAACAGTAAATTAAACAAATTTTGTTTTTTGTTACATAGTGAAAAATTCTTCTAATAATTTAATTTTATCTGACTCTTTTATATTGACAATTCAGACATGCATTATGCATTTTAAAGTAGACGACTATAAAATGATATTGCCAATATTGTTGAGTTGCGCTCCTGGGACGACTTTACTTATAAGATAGTTCATTCGATTACATGAAATCAACTTTAACTTGAGAATATCCGTCAGAAAAAAAAATCATAGCATGTAATTCGTCTTTAAAAAGACAAACACATGACATGATGAAAGTAAAATTCCCCTGTTAGTGATTCCATAGTAAATTATGAGGGAAAAACCAGGAAAAAAACCTCATAATACTATCCCGACATTGTAAGTATTTGTTCGTGAATTTAGTTTACCTTCAACAAACATCAAAATTCTGATTTTATATGTTACGTTATTTAAAAAACATAAATGATGTATCCTCTATATGTTACTGACTTACTAATACTGGTATTTTCTTATTAATAACTTCCTCTTTCAATATTGGTAACCAGATCCTACTACATTCAAGTTATTAAATATAATACAAGTTAATAATAAGAAAATACCAGTATTAGTAAGTCAGTAACATATAGAGGATACATCATTTATGTTTTTTAAATAACGTAACATATAAAATCAGAATTTTGATGTTTGTTGAAGGTAAACTAAATTCACGAACAAATACTTACAATGTCGGGATAGTATTATGAGGTTTTTTTCCTGGTTTTTCCCTCATAATTTACTATGGAATCACTAATAGGAGAATAATTTTACTTTCATCATTTCATCTGTTTGTCTTTGTAAAGACGAATTACATGTTATGATTTTTTTCTGACGGATATTCTCAAGTTAAAGTTGATTTCATGTAAACGAATGAACTATCTTATAAGTAAAGTCGTCCGATGAGCGCAACTCAACAATATTGGTAATATCATTTTAAAGTCGTCTACTTTAAAATGCATAATGTATGTCTGAATTGTCAATATAAATGAGTCAGATAAAATTAAATTATTAGAAGAATTTTTCACTATGTAACAAAAAACAAAATTTGTTTAATTTACTGTTTGTATTTTGAGAACGACTTCCGAAGTGGAAATTGAAACGTCAATAAACGTATTTTTATGTTTAATTGTGGCTTATTCCCAGTTAAATAGTAATTAATTTACAATGCCACAAGAAAATAGCTTCAGAACAATATGCCATACAGCGGTATCATCTGCATATATATTAAAAGGTTATATTTTTACCAGTGAAAAGATCAGCTGTGTAGAAAGTACACTTTAATGAGGCACGTCAGACCTTAGTGGGTATAGAGTTGTGGTTTTTGTCTTGAGATATACCTTGAAAATGTCTGTTTTAAAGGTAGGATTTGAGGATAAGGAAAATGTTCGGTTGTACGGAAAAAGCTTTTTCTTATTTTGTATAATAGTCCATGCTGCCAATCTTTATCGAAAGCTTGGGCGATTTCTAAAAAGGCAGCAGAGCATAAGTATTCTTGATCTTCAAAAGATTTATATAATTTTTTATAACTCGGTGGAAGCATCTTCACTAACACGCAAGTACTCCAAACTTTAGACAAAAGATGCGAGATTCTAAATGAGATGAAAACTAGAAAGATGGAATACTTGGGACACATTGTGAGAGGTGAAAAGTACGAACTTTTAAGAAACATCATGCAGGTCAAAATTAAGGGCAAAAGAAGTGTGGGAAGAAGAAAAATATCGTGGCTTCGTAATCTACGTGAATGGTTCGGGTGTAGTTCGATTGAACTTTTTAGGCGCACTGCTAACACAGTCGCAGTGGTTATGATTTCCAATCTCCGCTAGGAGTGGCACGAGAAAAAGAAGAAGGAAGCATCTTTATTTTAATATAAACTGCAATTCCTTGCTTTGTAAAAATTTGTTACGTATTTATCGCCAAAGAGATTGATTAGGAAAGTTTTTCGAAAAAACAAAAAAGGACTAAATTAATGTTTTAGTAGGTTATAGGATATTAATGAAAATGCTTTTTATGTATTGTTTGTATTAATTTAAAAATGTACATTGGTTATTGTAATATTGTAAATAAAACATGTAATTTAACGACATCTATGGTGACATTTCGGAAGATAATTTAAATTACAGGAATCTACCTCCTTGAATTATGTGTATCAGAAAGTTATGTTGTTTTGATTTATGATTGTGTGAAAGATAAATAGTAATATAAAAATACTAATTTAAACTACTTGTTATTTTTTGTTTGTTTTGTAACACTTAACGTTAGAAATAAATAGTCTTCATGTGGCAGATATTTACAAAGGCAGTATTGAATATCATATATTTTAACGATGGCAGATACCTAGCTTGACTTATTGAAAATATTGTTTAGCACGCTTGCTACTTCTGCAAACACGACAAATACTGTTTTCTAGAAATTTAGTACTTATTGTTCAAAATATAACACTTTTCATGAAGCTAGAGTGGACTGGAAAATCTGCTTTGTGTTATTTTAACTGATTGGACTGTAATAAAAAGCCTTTAATATACTTTCTTCAGACATGAATATACCTATAGGTGTGATACATTATAGGATTTGAAAATGGGATAAATAATAGATTGTGTACATAATGCAGCAAAAAACCATAGCATATATGGAAAATTAGCAAAACCAAGATCCATGTGGCGGTCACAAGAAATAAGAGAGTTGGTAAATACCAAGAAGAAAGCCTATTGAATATAACTACAAACACAATATCCAGAAAGTTGCTTTAAAGCCTACATACAAGATGGAAGAATAAGAAGAAATACGAAGAAATATAAGAAAGAAGTAGAAAATCAGAGTAAATTCCGTTCTGACAAATCTTGTGTTCACAATATATTTGTACTTTAACACCAGAAAAGTGAAAACAACAGCCAGAAATTTACCGGTCCCACTTGCTGCCAAACGAATACGGGCGGATAAGTTGGTAAGTGGTAGAAAATGGTTGTTTGTTTTTGTCCTGAAATTGAAAAATCGGTTCCTAAGGAGGATGAACTATAAATAAGTCAACTGCATAAGGATGAAGAAAGCAAAGAAAAACTACTGCAGTAAAGGCCTGTTGGGATTCCTAGTTTTAACTATCATGGCTTTAAATAATTTCTGTCAAAACATTAATGATCATGGATTTTGGAACCCAAGATCCGGTAGGAGAAGACCATCTCGAGACGGCATGGCCTCTGAGGTCGTTAATATGCAAAAATTATAACAACAGTTAAGGAAAATTTGTAAAAGGGATTTAAAAGGCAGCTCAAACATAATTGGATTTATTTGAGCAACTGCGACTAGCAAAAAACAAAGAAAAATTTTATAAAAGTGTACAATAGGAAATTCGACATAAAATACACGGAGCAAAAGGTCCACATCTAGCCAAACAGTGTATGAAATTGAAGAACTAAAAAATGGATACATAATGTATAAAAAAGTGAAAGAAACGGCTGGTATATTCAATAAGAGACAAACTGCACTGCTACATGATGAACATGGTAAATTAATATTTGAAGTAGAGGACAAACTTAAAAAATGAGAAAATTACATTACGAACCTATTCGATTAGTTCACCTCCGGATATTACTAACTGCGACGGACCCGTAATCACATTCTCAGGTAACACAAGCCATACGATTATCAAAAAATGTCAAAGCGACAAGTCTTGATAAAATGCATATTATTAGCAACGTATAGTTTAAATATTTTCAATGCGTGATGCTGATAGAAATATTTGTATTTTTATAGTTGAAATTATAGAAAGAAAACTTCGTACAAATACAAAATAAACAAAACGAACATAACCGTAGCCAAAAAGGAGAAAAAAAGGTCAATTGTAAAAAAAATATGAACATAGCCTACAATTTAACTGTTATTTGTGGACTATTATAATATAAGTAACTAATTTGGAAATTCTTACATGTTAAATAAAATTATATAAAATAAATACTTAGTTTCTGAATTACTTAGCGCGTTAAATGAAGTACTTATGTGTCCATTTAAACTCTACAACTTTTATGGGTGAAATTCTGTTTTTTAGTATAAATAGAATACTGAAATAAATAATAGTATATTATTTTACTTAGACATTAAATGAAAGTTAGTTAATGTTTAGTTAATGAAATATAAACAAGTAATTATTTTGGTGTCAGTCATAAAATTGGGTTTAAATGTTAAACAATAATTATATCACAAAATAAACAATGTTTAAATTAACTGTAACGTAGAAACAATAAAGACCAAAAGTAAGACAGGTAGTTCGGATATATGTGGGGCAAAGCTCCAACCGCATTCAATGTCGCTTTTCAACACATCAATGACAGTTTGATTGTTCTTGTTATGGCATAAAGCGGTCCGTAAATCGTCATCGACGTGTCTGCAAGTGTACTTGGGGTCAGTAAAAGACGCTGCGACAGGAGGACTGTCTCCGCATAGGTACTGCCGGCGTTTTCGGAGCCAGACTTCAACCCACCTGAAGAAAAAACAAATTTATGTACTGAAATGTTATTAGCATCATGTATACTAAAAAAATAATGACCTAGTTTATATTTTAATTTTAATATACAGATTATAAAAAAACTAGCCTTTGAAAGAGTATAAGGTTTCCATGACTTCTAGGTAATATAAATCTCTCGGTAGTACATTATTAAAAGAAGGGAATAACAGAAGGGACATGGAAAATAGGGTTAAGCAAGGGGAAAATCAACACTCGCATTTTAATATACATACAATTATGTATCTTTATATAACACCTAATCAAAAAATCATCAGAATACATTCCACAAGTAAATTATCAAATAGTGAGATTTGTGCTATGCTGTGCTCTCCAACTCACCAAATTATGTGTCGTGCATCTAACGACATGAGAGATGCACGACATATGGGACAAAAGTGTTACCTTATGCTAGAGAGCTAAAGAATTCCATTATATTATAGTCAGCACGATATAGGCGTACTTCCGTTCCTGAAATCATTTCATTTCGACTTGCGGAAATAAAATCGTTTTAAGACAAACACAGATAATCCAGAAGAGTACTTAGAAATGAGTAAATCTTAAACAAATAAAGATGGAGTGGGAAAGACCAGAGAGTAATACAGCTCCCGTAAAATGTACGCAGCTATGATCAGCTTAGATATCGCTTTGACAAAGGAGCCCTTTGATAAAAGGTACACCAGGGTCAAATAAATGGTCCATCGAAAATTGAGGAGGAGTACTACTGCTATACAATAGTTGCGTTCTTGAAAACAGACTAATTACAAGTAAACTGCATTCCTAGTTTATCAATTGTAGGTAAAATAAATAAATTTAGATGTATCAGATACAACGAATTGTTAAGAAAAGTTAAAAATGGTTCAAATGGTTAAAAGAAAATTCAGGGACCCTTTAAAATAAGCTACAAGAAAGTTTTATTATTTTAACAAGATTTACCAGGACCAACTAGATTTACTTGGTATAAGTGCCTGTATACTCAAATTGGATCGTAAAGGGGAGCAAGAGCGGGTCATCGACACAGTCGCTAGGATCCAAATCTTCGACTGGAGTGCCCTTCATTACTGGCTGGTGTAGTCTCTAGAAGCTTCTTTCACGACGGTTCCGGGACTTTTGAGCTACTGGTGAAGGTACGAGACAGTCTAGGTTGTACGAGGCCGGGACTTTTAACTTTCTTAACTCGTCTCCTTATACTTAATCATAGGAGATGCTCTTTGACGGACAATATAGGTACTGGTCACTATCGATCCTTACCAGTAGTTATCTATCAGATGGCATCTATGGTTCTGCCAGGTAGGTGACTTACCTAGGGAATGGTAGGTAACCATAAGTGCCCTCTATGTATTGACTAGAAGAAAACTTTCCCTCATGTCCTTTCTAAGTGTATGACAGTGGTCTACCAGTAGCGACAGCACCACTGCATTTTTTCAGGCATCCTTTTTTAAAGTTTATCCAGCCAATACAAATAAATTAGATACAACTAAGGAAGTTTACGACTTTCCGTGTCTGTTAAGGGATGAGATGTCCTAGATAGTAGGATGGGTTCTGACTCTGGATCTATGTTGATTGTAGCTGATATTCGGAGACTTCGACTAATTTAAATTGTAGTCATAGAGTCATAGACCCACCACAAAGACTCCAAGTAATTAGAAATGGAGCTTATCCCAAATATACTATAACAACAATCATTAATATGCAATAAATAAACACGGATTTATCACTAATTATCTTTCTGTACTGCAATAATACTACCAGGTGTCCTTAAGAAGCGTAAAATGTATTAAATTAGCACGCCACTGACCGAAGACGATAAGTGGGAAAACGATCCAGAGGAAGACCAAATCTTAGGTATCAAGATAACATAGAAGATGATCTAAAATCCATCGGAGTTAAAGCATTAAGAAGAGTTGCTAGAGAAAGGGGAGAATGGAAGATTGTTCTGAAGAAGGCTTTGGCTTAAAAAGAGCAGTAGAGCCACTCATGATGATGATCCTTAATATCCATGAGGATATGCATCTCCCACCACCTATGGAAAAATGCCTTGCCTCCCCTGGAAAAAGACACGAATGACCAAATTGAAGTGGTGATGGATCAACAAAAAATAAAGCAAATAAAAATATGTGCAAACAAATAATAATAAATAACAGAGAAAGCATCGAGGAAGAATCAACAACAGATTAGCGAGTACAGAAAAACTATTCCAGGCTTTAAATAGAGGATTTTTTAACAACAAAGAAAGATCAAGAAAAACAAAGATGACAATATACACACATTAAAAAAGTCTAGAAATATTACACATAAACCCAAACATAACGAAATTATTAAAAATAAATTTATTCGAGTTTGAACGTGATTTAAAGTTAGTGCATTGGAAATATTGTTTTTTGTTTCATGGACCAACACCTTTCAACTTTTGATGAGATGAATAGGGCTGTGGGCCTTTTTTACGAGGGCATGCGGCAAACTAACATAGCGCATTCACCGGGCCCACCATAGATCATGATACTGTCAGTAATCATCCCCATAGAGCCAATCTCCACAGTTAAAGTGCATTGAGCTATCCACCTATCTCCAAAGGCAATTGCTGCAAAGACGCTGCAAAAAATGTATGTCTCGTTCTAATAAGATCCCTAAAATTTTCCAATCTGTAAATGAAATTAAATATGGGCAAACGCTAGCACACGGAGCAAAAAATTGGTTTTTAAACATAAAACACCAATTTAAGATACAAGCAGCAGAGATAAAATACCGCATAAGAACGATAGGGTCAAGAAGAACAGACACACTTAATAATTGTGTTACTTAACACAATAAAGGAGAAAAAATTAGCGTGGTTTGGTCATATAATATCAATGGATGTTACCAAATAAGTAAAAAGAGTGTGAGAAGCTAAACAAATCTGGAAAAATAGAAGAAGCAGACCAATAAAAGAGTGAAACAGCGACATAACTGAGACATCACAAAATAAGTGAAAATATTGGCAAGAAGCAACACACATTGTAAAAATAGAAAAGAATGAAAAAAAATCGTCAAAAGCTAAAATCACCTCTCTCGACACCTAACAGTAGTCATTCATAAACAAGTCAGTTTAAATTTTAGTAGCATTATGTAATTTCTATAAAATTTTTCTCTATTACTATGCATAAATTGTTACCCTAGGTCGCAATCACATGTCCATTTATTTCCAGTGATATCCAAATCAATTAAAAACGTTTTTCCATAAAGATTAGGTATGTTTCCTCGTGAAGGGTTCAGTAGATTTTGAAGTACTTGGTTGTTCCTTACATCAACTGTCAAGTTCTTCACCCTATCAAGGTCATCAAAAATGTTGGCTGCTATTTTCATTATGCTTGTGTTATGCACTCCAAAGTGAAATACTGGACTTCTAATTCCCTAAAAACAAATAACAGGTTAAAGAATATTTTTAATTAATAAATCAAAACGAAGGAGAGCAAACATATTGATCGTATAAGAGAATCTCCAACTTAGAAACCCTTACATGCGTCAAATATTTTGAAGTCAACTAAATAGGTTTCTAACCTTTTGGTTCTTTTCTAGGTTCCTTTCTAGGTGTTACTCTATTCCTTTTGTACTCCTATCGACAAGGTTTATCTGATAATTTAAGACACGATGGCTATACTTACATTTAATACATTGCTTCCTAATTTCTTAAGGCCTTTCCCTGTAAATGTTATGTTTCTTAACTTTAAAGGCAACTCTCCAGTCATTTGTTTTTCTAAATTATCTTCAGTGGGTGCATCAATCTGTAAAATGTCACAAATCATATTTTTTTTGTCTATATTTTTTAATAATCAATTGTAGTGATTTAAAATACTTACATGAATTTCAAGATTTCTTAATCCAGTGTTAAACTGAAGTAGACTGGGAATATTTAAATTTTTTATATTAGGAAATTGGTCCATTTTCAAAGTTCGCAGTGAATACATCTTACAAAATACCCCTGTCTAAAATATGAAAATATTATGAAGTTTATTCATTATATTAAAAATGATTTTGTGTGAATATTATGAATGTTTTCACATAAACAAGGATAAAGTTTGTTTTTTTATTAAATATATCTTGGATAATTATTTTGCAATATTTAATATTGGGATTAATGCAAGAAAAGGATTCACATGTACCACTCATTAAAAAAACGGTGCAAATCCATATTCCACACCCTCCTATATATACATAATTTGTATCCCAGAATTTACTCAAGATTTTAAGTGACCAGAAAATGCGGTTTTTCTCTTTAGATTGTAATGTTCTTGTTGAACATTACAATCTAAAGAGAATTGCTCTTTAGATTGTAATCTAATTTACTCTGCTCCAAAATACAAATTAAATTGAAGAAATTAACAAAGCCAACTAAGCCTTGTAAGATATATCTCGACCCCATGAAAAACCCTCAAACGCGCGAACACATAACACAGCAAACAAATAGTAAAATACACAGAATATCAAATATACCAAACGAAAACAGAACCATTAACGAATGCTGGTATGCCATTCAAAACTCGATTTTAGAGAACGTAGAAGAGTCTTTGAAAACACCTACCATGTTGGCAAAAAATGAGTGGATGACACAAGAAATTCTAGATCTGATGGAAGTTCGACGGCAACACAAAAATAGAAATATTATCGAATATCGCGAAATTAATAAACGCATAAAAAGAAAAATTAAGCAAGCCAAAGAATCCTGGCTTGAGAATTTATGTAAAGAAATATAAGACCTCCAAAAAAAGCATGACAGCTTCAACCTGCATAAGAAACTTAAATATACTGCCGGAATTAGAAAACAGAAAAATGCTCACATACTTAAAAGCGCGGACGGAAAAATTTGTGATCACGAACAACAGTGCAAAGAATGGGAGAGATACATCACTGACCTTTTTGACGATGCTTCTAGGGAAAATGCTCCAAATACTGCCTATGACAACCAGTTGGACAGAGGTCCCAATAAACTGAATTCGGAAGTCGAAAAGGTAATACAGCAAGCCAAAAACAATAAAGCACCTGGACCAGATCAAATTCCTGCCGAACTACTTAAACTTTTGGATGAGGAAAGGATTGTCTGCTTAACCACTTTCTTCAACAAAATTTACAACGAAGGAAAAATACCAGATGATTGGTTAGAGGCACTGTTTATAACATTACCAAAGAAAAGCAGGCCCACCAAATGCAGCGATTTTAGACTAATCAGTTTGATGAGTCACACACTGAAGATACTCTTACGAATTATACAAAACCGAGTATTCCTTCTATGCGAAAGTAAGATGGGTGATAAGCAATTTGGATTTAGAAACGGTCTAGGAACTAGAGAGGCACTATTCTGTATGCGCGTTCTATTACAAAAAAGTTGTGAATTCCGAAAGAATGTTTATGTTTGTTTCATCGACTTCGAGGCGTTCGACAGTCCAACACAATACACTTTTCGACTGCCTACGGGCAGCAGGACTTGACCACTATGATATAAGACTGCTGAAATACTTATATTACAATCAAGTAGCCTCTATCCAAATTGGAGACAGTCCCACTGAAAAAATACCCATCAAACGTGGAGTACGGCAGGGTTTTGTCACCCACTCTTTTTAATCTGTACTCTGAAGAAATCTTTAGGGAGGCTTTGGATGACAGACAAGAGGGAGTAAGACTAGGTAGAGAAGTAATCAACAATATTAGATACGCTGACGATACAGCCATTCTTGCAGAAAGTTTACAAGATCTCCAAACATTACTAAATCTAGTCAGTGATGCAAGTTATCGGAGAGGCCTAAAAATCAACATTTCAAAGACAAAGTGGATGGCAGTTGGAAAGATCCATATAGATTAAGGTCTGCTTTCTCTTAATGGAGAAGAGATAGAAAGGGTAAATCATTTCAAATACCTTGGCAGCTGGTTAAATGTAAATTGTGACTCTGATGAAGAGATAATATCCAGGATCGAAATATCACGTAAGGCTTTTATGACCTGGAAAACAGTTTTATGCAACAGAAACCTGTCAATGAACATTCGTAAGAAGGTCCTGAAATGTTGTGTGTGGTCGATCCTATTGTATGGTTGTGAGACATGGACGTTAAAAACCACAATGCTAAACAAGTTAGAACCATTCGAAATGTGGTGCTATAGACGAATCCTAAAGATATCGTGGGTTTCGCACACTTCCAATGAAGATGTTCTTCAAATGATCAACTCAGAACGTCTGCTCATAAACATCATAAAGAGGAGAAAAACAGAATACTTCGGCCATATAATTAGAGGACCAACTTACCATTTACTTCGCCTTATTATACAAGGAAAAGTGGAAGGAAAGAGATGGATTGGTCGAAAGAAACTTTCATGGCTGCGTAATATTAGACAATGGTGTGGTTTCACAGTAGAAGAATTATTTCGCGCAGCAGCCGACAGAGAAAGATTTCAGGAAATTGTAAACATGATGACGGCCAACGTCTGAATACGGACACGGCACCCAAAGAAGAAGAAGAAACTCTTGTTGAATCATAAAGTACATCGGATAGCTTGATGTATGAAATAGCACATCAGGCAAATGGCCTAAACGGCTTTGCTGACACATATGCATAATTTTGTCTAAATTTTCCAAATCATTTTACATAAATATAGCCGAATTTCGTTGGTGTAGTAGGAGTTTCCTCCTTTTATGCACAGATGGTTGTAGACTTATTGACATAGACCTTTGACATAATATTACCTCATAAAAAGAACTCCAACGCTATTAAATCACAACATTTAGGACACCAATTTCGATCACATGACCAGGAAATATCGTATATAATAACTGAATTGTTTCACGGGATGTATGCCATCAGTGAGTAAATGCTGTAGAGAGCTTCTTGAAATATCAAATTTTTGTCCACGAAGTTGAATTGATGTTGCTGTACTTCCAAAAAAATTTCTCTTAGGTAATGCTTTGATATTGACATTTTAATAGGTTTTTTTAGACGACCAGTATGTTTAGCCTCACCAATTTAACCAGTCTCTCAGCATTTTTTATTTAATTTTAAAAATCAATATTTCGACCATATTTTGTACGAAATTTTTGAACTGTGGCTGTCAAACTTTCATTATTCTTATAGTATTATTCAGAAATGAAAACGTGTTCAAGGTCGTTGGTGGTTTTATTGTTGGTTCACCGATAATTATTATTATATCTATTCGCACCGTTAAATTTTTTCTTTGTGCCTTGATTTTAATTGTTTAATGTATGTAGCAACTCCTTCTTTATCTTTGTGGATACCATCTGGCTAATGCCTTGTGGCAGTTGTCTTCTTCTTTACACATCTATTCGTTTTCTTGTTGTCGGTGGAAGTATCAAGAAACAACAGTTGTAAGATTTGTGATGATAAATTTGATAGTTCTGCTAAAGAATTATCCAAAAAGATTTCATCTAGGAAAAGTAGAATCAACAAAAAAATACAGAGAACGATTCTACAAAAATTGATGAAGCGTAGATGCTAATATTTAATTTTCAAAAATCTTTAACTTATCCAAAATTAACTAGATCAATGGCGTACTGTAAAAGAAATTTTTATTTGTACGAGTACATATTGCGTAAATAAATATCTAGGGTAAGGTTAAACATGGAAAATGTATGCAAAAAATAGTAATACCAAGGTATCTCTTTTTGAAACCCTGAAAGTTTCCCACGCTAATGTTAATATGATTATCATAAAGTTAAAGTTGATATCAGAAAATTGTTTTTTTCGTAATCAAATGAAATTTAAAATAAATAAAAAGTAATATCGATATCGGACATAATATTAACAGATGTTTTAGTTACCTTATTAATTTTTAGTTCTTATAAAGTTAACCTGTGTATTTAATCGATTAAAAAATAGACATAAACTATAAAACAAGGTTTTTTTTACCTCTAATGTAGTAAGTTCAAGATTTTTTATGTCCAGTTCGACTAAATGATCAGCAACGCCTAGCAAACTTGTATTACTTAGAAAAGTTACAGGGTTTCCTGCGATTGAGAAATATCTCAACTCATCAAGCTGATGAGTTACTATTGGAATGGTAGTTAAATCATTGTGATCCAAGTTCAATCGCTGAAGTTTCGTCAAATTAGTTGTCATCTCTGGAGGAACTGTCGGCAATGAATTATAAGAAAGTGATAGTGATATTAAATGCGGTGTTGGTAATGTTGGTACCTAGAAAAATTGGAGTGAAGTTTATAAAATATTATAAGATTAGCATATGCTTACCTGTGATAAAGAAATGTTGTTTAATAAAAGATGGTACAGAGTATACTCTAGTCCTTGAAAGCTTAATCCATTTGGTTCAAACACCAATTGGCTATTATGGCTCAAATCCAGAGCAGACAATTTAGGTAAACCTTTAAACGTACCAGCATCAACTGATGCTAATCTGTTATAAGATAAATCCAAAAAACTCAAACTCTACAAATAAAATGAGAAATAAATTTTTAAATATGTATTTCAAATGATCAAAAGGGAGAAAGAATAAAACAAAAACATTATCAACTTTTTAAATACGCATGTTCGAAATTAATCCTCAACCAGGCATTACACGAGTCAAAAAACTTACGCTGTAACACGCATACGGTCAAATCCACCGTATACATAGTTTTTTTAATTTAATAAAAAAAATCAAGTAAAACTTAAACATAAACCAAAAATCTTTTTTTTTTTTATTATTTTTATTTATCCGCATCAACCACTAGGGTTATTAGCGGTAGGTTTATGATACAAATAGAGAAAATAAGATACATTTTAAAAGTCATGACTTACAACAATATGGTATTATGTACATGTATATAAATGTAACAAAATTAAATCACAATTTATTATAGAGTTTACAGTGTTTTAAAAAAGACAGAACTTCATTGAATTTTGTAACCAGTGCTTCTTTCAGGCTGTTGGGTATCTTGAATATCGCCTTGGCTAAGATGTACTCTGGACATTCTATTAATATATGGTTGACTGTGAAAGGTGTTTGGCATCTTTGGCACATTGGTAGTGGTTCTTTGGAGATTATGTAGCCGTGTGTAAGTTGTGTATGCCCAAGTCGGAGTCTGCTGATAATTACCTGGTCTTTTCGTTTTGGTGGTATATCAATATTTTTTGAGGATACGTCTGGTTTGATATTTTTAAGATTTGTGTTTGTTTGATCCCATATTTCTTGCCATATTTTATTCAAATGAGTCTTTAATAAAGTCTTAGTATCTGATATTGGTATATCTGTTGTAGTCGGAATGTTCACATTGTTTATTGCTTCAAACGCTGTTTTGTCTGCTAGCTCATTACCAGATATTCCGACATGGGATGGGACCCACATAAATGATATAATTTTCCCAGAAAATTGGAGCTGTTGCAACGCGTCCTTAATTAGGAATAGATTGATGTGTGTGGGATAAACATGTTTAATGGCCTGTAAAGAGCTTAATGAATCTGATAATATTAGTATTTGTTTTTCATTTATGGTTTTACAATGATTTAGTGCGTCAAGTATTGCTTGGAGCTCTGCGGTATAAATACTACAGCCGTGAGTTAATCTAGTGGCAGAAATTAAGTTTTCTGATACAGTAGCAGCTGCTACTCCGTTGCAAGTTTTGGAGCCATCAGTGAAGAACAATTTGTGAGTGGAGTATTTGAGTAAATTTGTATGATACTGAAGCCTGATCTCTGCAGAATTGTGTAAATGCTTATCATGATTAAGTAAGGAGAGGTCTACTATTGGTAAAGAAACTGTCCAGGGAGGTGTCTGGTATATTTTTATGGGTGCCAAGGTAATTTGATTGATTTAATACGGTAATCTTTTAACTCATTCGTAAAATGGTACTGTCTTGGTGGTGTAATTTGTGTATTGTTCTAGTGATTCTTCTGATACTAAACTTGCGAGAAAGGTATGATCCTTGCGCTTAGAGTTCTTGAAGCGTAGTATAGTGATAGATATTGTCTTCTGAGGTATAGTGGCATTTCTCCTGCTAGCACTTGAAGGCTTCTTATTGGAGTAGTTCTAAAGGCCCCAAAGATTAGTCTTAGAGATGTGGTTTGAATAACATCCAGTTTTTTTAGTTGATTTTTATTTGCTGTTTCATAACAGATGCATCCGTAGTCGAGTTTGCTTCTTATTAATGTCTGATATAAATTAAGAAGAATTTTAGTATCTGATCCCCATTTATGATTGGATAAAACTCTTAGTAAGTTTATTCCTTGTTGACAGGATTTGATCAAATTGTTGATATGTGAAGTCCATGTGAGTTTTGAGTCAAATATGACACCCAAAAATTTGATTTCGCGGACTTGTTTTAGAGGATGGCCATTTAGATACAAGTTTAAGTTTTATTCTGCTCTTCGTTTGTCAAACATTATTACTTTAGTCTTCTCAGTTGAAAAAGTTAAACCAGTCTCTAAAGACCACATTTCTAAGCTGTTTAATGTTCTCTGTAAAATTTGCGTAGCTAATTCTATATTTTTACTTTTAACATATATTACTAGATCATCAGCAAAGAGATAGCTTTTACGGGAAGCTTTATGTTTTTTGTTATATTATTTATTGCGATTAAAAAATCTTTTATTTTAAACCCACGTTACAATTATTTATTTATTGTTGGCTTTTATAGCATTCAGTACAAAACTGGAAAGTATGTTCTCGGCATATATACTTTTGACACTGTACGCATAGGGTCTTCGTTTTTCTGTTCTTTTTCGACGAGCAAAAATGACATGCCTGGAACGTCATACTGGCCATGCTGCGTAAATACCTCCGAAATGTCCAATATTTCTTTTATACGATTTCTCATAGTTACTGGTAACATAACCATTGCTCGACGAAATTTAAATTGCGGTGCAAAGAGTCTCATTGCTAATGATTTCAAAAAGTTAGTTTCGGGAAGTACTATGAGTATTGTTACTTTTATCAGCAACGCTATGGTTATTTATTCCAGATATATTTAAGGAAGTAAAAAATATTGTTAAAGGCCATCGGCAACTTTTTCATAGCACAGATTAAGTTTCTTTTAGCTCATCAATGGTATCATCACTTTCTTTTAATGTGTTGTGAAATGTAATAATTGTGGGCTTATATGCATTACTTCCTCTTCGTCTTATTCAGCCGTAAGTAATCAAACTTTGGACATATGCCTCCCCCAAATCAACCCAGTTTCTTTTATTTGTGCCACTTGCTTCCAGCTGTGTCCTCCGATTTTCAGAATATCGTCCGCCCATCTCATTTGTCGTCGTCCTCTGCTTCTCTTTCCTAACCATGGCATCCATTGATGGATTTCGTGGTTCCATCTCTTATCCTTCAGTCGGACGTTGTGTCCTGCGAAGCTCCATTTTAATTTGGCAGCATGTTCTCCTGAGTCTTTGACTTTAGTTTTGCTTCTAATCCATTTGTTTGCTTTTCTGTCTATTAGTTTCACCCCGAGCATTGAACTTTCCATCACTCTTTGTGTTTTTACTATTTTATCCATATTAGACTTGATGAGTGTCCACGTCTGTGAACCGTACGTAAATATAGGGAGGATACACTGATCGTAAATTCTGGTTTTCAAATATTGTTCTATTTTAGTGCTTTTCAAGATCCAACTCAGTTTTTCAAATCACGTCCACGCTAACCTTATTCTTCTGGTAATTTCGGCAGTTTGATTTTCTTTGTTAACTTTCATTATGTCCCAGGTAGATGTATTCGCTTACTGTTTCTAAATTTATGTCGTATCTAATGTTCGGTGTATTTGTCATTATTTTTGTTTTTCCAAGTTCATCTTAAGACCTACATTTTTTTGCATGCTACTTCCTGTATAAATCTCGTATTTGTAATGCATTGTTGACAACATAGTAACTATTTTGTTTTGCTTGGGCTTGTAGGACACCAAAGTCATGTCTTCGGTGAAACCAAAAATACTCGAAGTAACTTAACGCTCTTTTAACTTTGCAATAAAAATCTAAGGATTTTTTTTATTTTTACGAATAGTTGCCGTAGCAGTTAGTTTGTGTTTTTTTAGCAAATCTAAGGCTAAAGATATTGACGTAAACCAATTATCGAAAGTTACATTTCTTTCTGCCTGTTACAGAAATTGGTTTAAATGATCTTTGTATGACTGAGGAGGCGTTATTGCCAACTTTATAGGGTCCATTTGGATGGGTCCCAACATACACCTCTAGATTATAAGTATAATATAACGTGGAATTAACAAGCGCTAATACTTTGATTCCATACTTTGCAGGTTTATTTGGTATGTATTGCCGAAATCCACATTTGTCGCAAAATTACTCAAGAGTTTCATTATTTGTCACAAATTCACTTAGAGTATAATTTTCTTTGCATCGCTCAACAAATCCATCAAAAAATTCTCTTATAGAAGAATGCTTATCGTACTGTTTCTGTTTCTCTCTATTCGTCAAAGCAAAGCGCTCGTAACAAAAATTGAAATCGATTAATTCCCATTGTTTAAGACGAAAAATCTCTACGCCAGTTCCGTCCTGTGCCAACAGATCTCTCAAATGTAGGTGTGATGACCACAAGGCTCCAGCAAAATATAGATGACAGTTAAGTGCTTTAGTTTTTTTTATACCTGTACTGATGACATCTCTTTCTCTACTGTAATTTGTCGGTAACTTTAAAATATATTTGTTTGTGTGTTCAACTTTATCGCTGATAGCGAAGTCTGGAAAAAACAATTGCCAAGCATCAATAATGGTTTTTGCTTCTCTGGCCTTTCCGATTACTCCAGAAGATTGCGTCACTATGTTTCTGCTTCAGGTCGTTTTTTTTTAAACAGCTACAGGAAACTTATTCCACAACGTCTTTTTGTCCCTTCCCACAAAACACAGATGAGTATTTAGATCTTGCTGAGTGTTATTAAAATCTGGTAGCTCTTCTCCTTCTGACTGCTCTGAATGGGAGTCGTGCTCATTGTTCTCCAAAATGTCATCTTGGTTTTTAGGAGGTCCACTTATCTCATCGTCGCTCTTAATTTCAGCTCATAATATGGCTAAAACACGCTTTATTTCTTTCTCGTAAGAACACATAATCTGCAAATAAAAAAATACTATTACGAATTACCATACCTGTGACTATATTTTTCAATAAATTACTAGACTTAAGAAATATTATAAAAAGAACCATACACATTGTTCACTTACCGTATTATTAAATGTAGTAAAAAGCACACCAATATCTAAAACTGTAAAACTGCAACAAAAATATCTTTGATACTTATGTACATGCGCACAGTCAAAAGCACCGACTACAAAAATATTAAACTGTATCTCTCAAAGGCAAATTAAAAACATTAATTATTTTAATCTGATACTAAATTCAATGTAAAATATTAAACACGACTGTAAAAAGAAAAACAATAAATAATTCAACTATTTAACTGATGCCAAAAGTAGTTTGACTATGCCTTGCCATGAGAACGCACTGCATACAATTAAATGTTTTTAGTAATGTTGGATTTCTTAGTTTAATTTGTAGATTGACGTCAACAAATGACAAATGTTGTAAGATTTATAATATATGTAATCTTAATCGTGAATTAAATTAAAACAACTAAGATTAGCAGTTAAAAAATTAGCAGTAAAAAACATGATAACATAATTGGTGTATAACATCGAGCAATTTGAACTGATGATTTAACAAATTGAAAATTAAATTCACTTAGTATTTTTTGGTCTTCTGTTTAGTAAATTAATAAGTCGATTTTATGCTAGAAAGGGTGTTAGACATATTTAATTAGAATCTTCAATCTCTTTCTCTCGCTCTCTCTCTCCATTTCACTCTCTATCCCTTTCGTAAAAGCGTAAACCTTTATTTAGTATTTTTAATTTTAGTTGGTTACATTTTAAATGCAATAATAAAGATTATTTGTAAAGTAACAGAACAAAGAAACGTGGTGAGGACAATGAAAGGCCTGTGAAATTGAGCAGACTTGACCATCGACAACTAATGGTCATTGGCATGGTACAGTGAATTTTTACAGTCAGGTGTGTAGTGTGTGTGTGTATGTGTAGAGTAATTGTCTTGATACTTAGCAAAGTCGACGTCATATTCTTTGCTAAGAGACGCTAATTGTATCCGAACGTCTGCGGTCCCTCCAGTGAGTACCGATCGCACAAGGATAGAAATTATTTTCATTTATTAATTTTTAATAAACGAAAATTTCCACCCAGGTGAGATTCGAACCCACGACCTTAAGGTTCAATGGTAGGCGTTCTTACCACTGAGCCATAGAGGGGGTAAGGTGATTTTAAAAGGATATGAAAAGATTGTAGGAAAAAATTAACATCACGCGTGGTGATTGTAACTTTTCATCACGTGTGATGCACACAATCCGACCTGAGATAGTATAAAGACTAATGAAAGAGATAAGTCATTACTACAGTTTGTTATGTAACATAATCTACATATTTTGTATCAGCACAAGTATCCAAAGGCTGTCCGCAGAGGGAGTTTATACTTCTTTCTTATAAAATCTGGTCACGGAGGGGCTGGTAGCTAGACTAAGTAATGATAGGCATCATATCTTGGGCTATGCGGATAACCTGGTTATTTTACCATACGGTAGCATGTTTTGACTGCAGTTACAGTATGGTATTTAAATGTTGGGCTTAATATAGGCCACCAGAAGTACATAATAATCAAATTTACCAGACTAAATTAAGAGGGATTGATCGACTAAGGCTAAATTAGCCTAAACATTTAAATTTGTTAAGTGAAGTACAATATCTTGGAACAATATTAGATCTAACGATTACTTTAAACCAGCAGATAGAACGAATAAGAAAGAGTGGTAACTAGGTTAATGGTAGTTAGACGACCTTATGAAAAAATATATATTGGATCTATAACAATAATTATATACGTGTCAGTGGTATTTGGTGCCAAAGGTGCAGTAAAAAAGGTGTTGGAAGATAAATAGTAATGAAAAGTTCTTATAAAGTAATGTTATGAGGCATATATAAAACAAAATTTAAAAAATTTTGTAAATATTTTCTAAAAAAATCGCGTTAGTTAGAATAATTCGTACTACTTACTCTAAACCTAGTCAGCAGGCCTCCATGCGATAGAGAAGATATACTATTCCAAGACAGATCAAGTTCACATACCGTTATGGCAGTAGAAACAGACATGCTGTTTAAGGGCAGTTTGCTTAGCATATTGTGTGATAGATCTAACCTCTCGAGACCTTCTTCGCGGAATAGGTTGTCTGGCAGCGCTCGTAGTCGATTATGAGACAAATCTACGATTCTTAAGTTGCTTAAGAATCTGAATAAATCATTTGCTACATCTGCAATTTTGTTGTGCGATGCTAGTAGGACCTAAAATTAAAAATATTTGTATATATGTTTCAAATTTTTGATTGTAAATGTAATCTATTAACAAATAGAATTTGTAAATTAAATCACAAAAAATATAATTTTGTAACCGTAGGATTTAATGTACAAATCCCAAAATAAAGTAACTTCAAACTCATAAAATATAGGAACCCTACATGTTAGCGTTTAACAGTTAAAAGAAGAAGTCTTCACGAATATTGTAATGAATATTGTAATATTGTAATTCTGTATTCAACAGTTCGATTGATATTTTACAAGTTGCAATTACGTGAGGTTTCATATCGGTTCTTTGAGCCTTATTTTCTTTTACAATGGGTAGGATGCTAACCTGGCCCGTTAACCCTCTTTTATTTGGGCTTGGGACTGGCTGTGGGCGTAAACGTGGCTTCTGAGCTACTCAATCCACCCAGTCATCGCGCTATTAACCCCTAGGTAGAGAGGCAAACCAAAACCAAATGTTGGATAACATCTCAATGCCCACTACAATGTAAAATCCAAATTGATGGGAAAATAAGAAAGCAGGAAGTAAGTTTTAGATATCTAGGAATAGATATAACTAGTTACGGAGATGTTAACGAAGAAGTACGACAACAAAGCTTAAAAGCAAGTAAAGCGGCGTGATCTCTTACTGACACAATCTGGAAGAAGAAACACCTAATACAAGACACAAAAACAAGAACCTCTAAAGCAGCAATTAGACTTATATTAACATACACTGTGTAGACAAGACCTGACACATCTAAAACGAGACGACTGCTAGAATCAAAAGAGATGAAAATACTTCGACGAATATTAGGGAGAAGTCTGTTGGATGGAGAGAGAAACGAAAACATAAAAAGAGCATGCAATATAGAAGACATAAATGGATGGCTGACAAAACGAAAACAGGAGTGGAACGAACATATCAGTAAAATAAAAGAGGATACAATAGTGCGAATAGCACGAGATAAGTCACCAAATGGACGATAGAAGTATTGGCAGACCAAGAAAATGATTGTGCGACAATTTAAACAATTTAGGAAACTAGTATTGAAAAATAAACAGGCTTTAAAACCTACATACAAAAAGGAAGAACAAGAAGAAGAAAAAGAAACAACTACCTGCATTAATGCCGTAACCATTTTTCATTTACAATCCCTCTTTAAATAGTTATATAAAAAAAATAGAGGACTATAAAACAATCCTCTTCAGGACCAACCATTTTGACAAACTCAATTAATATTGAGGGAATGTCTAGATTTAAAAAAGTTTTATTATCTGATATAAAAACACTTTTACTTTTGGCATCCTAAAGAACTAAACTAAGAGAAGAATTAACTAAAAATTCATTGTTAAAGTTAAGAATAAAGTTTAGTATAACCAAAGATACCAGAAGCTTGTCTTCTTTCTTCTTTGGTCAGACCCACACATGGTCATCGTTTCGAGTAAAGGACAGTGGACAGTATATTTCCTTTGGATTAAACATAAAATTATCGTCTTTATGCCGTTTCAATTTTACCTTTCACATTTAAAACCTAATCCAAAGATTTTTACACCTCTCAAACTGGCTTTTGCAAATGCTTAAATATTCACTGATGATCTGATAAGACTGAAAATAATTTAATAAAAATTGTCACTCTTTCGGATATTATCATTATTTTGGTAATTTTATAAATACACCACTTACACCAAAGTGTTTTCTTTATTGTAAGTTTTTTTTATTAATATATATATATTTATATATATATATATATATATATATATATATATATATATATATATATATATATATATATATATAAGCGAGGTTCCTACAGCCTCTGCCGTTTCTCGCATTTCGACCGCCATGGTTTTCTGTCCATCCATTCGTCTTCTCTGATGGCTCCATCTGTCATTATGTGCCGTACATTTTCTTCCCAGGCAACTGAAGGCCTTCCCCTTCTTCTTCTTTGTTGTGGTATGTAATTTAAAGCTTTCTTTGGCCATCTATCTTCATTCATTCGTTTCACGTGACCATACCACACTAATTGTCTCGTTTCAATTCTATCTACACTGGAATATACAGTATTTGTCCTTCTTCTACTATCTTCATTCCTGATGTGATCTTTTTTGGATATACTACACGCTCTCCTTAGAAAATCCATTTCTACTACTTCTATTCTTTTTCTATCCTTCTGCGTTATCTGCCAAACCTCTGCCCCATAAGTCAGAATAGGCTCTACCAAGGTTCGATAGATTGTCAATTTCGTTTCTTGTCTAATATCTTTAGACCAAAGTAGAGAGTTTAGAATGTTTACCACTTTTTTTCCCTGCTGTGTTCTGTTTTCGATGTCTCTTTTGGTAGTGCCTTCTTTAGATATTATAGATCCGAGATATTTATATTCATTGCATGTTTTTGTGTTTCTAATTTCTAACTCTGGATCTTCTTCACCATCTCCTATTTTAAGATACTCTGTCTTTGCCATATTCATATTGAGGCCCCATTTTTCATATTTTTTCTTTAGTTTTCTAAACATGTAGTCCATGTCTTCCTCGTCATTCGCTACGACTACCTGATCATCTGCGAAAAATAAAGCTGTTAGACATTCACCACCGCCTATGTCTATTCCCATTCCGGATACTTATTTTCTCCACTGCTCTAGCGATGATTGAATATATATTTTAAACAGGGTCGGAGACAGACAACATCCTTGTTTAAGCCCCTTGGTTATTGGAAATGATTCAGATATAAAGTTTCCTTCTTTAACGACACTTCTTGCATTTTTGTATATATTTGCGATAGCATCCACATACTCTCTATTGAGACCTACTTTCGTCAATGTATAAAATAGTTTTTTCAAAGGTACCGTATCATATGCCTTCTCTAAATCTACAAACAATAGGTGGGTAGATAGATTCCTTGCCTTCCGTTTTTCGATTACCTGCTGCAGAACGAATATATTATCAATGCACGATCTTCCTGCCCGAAATCCATTTTGTTCCTCTATGTCTTCATATTCTGATTCAATTCGTTTTTTTATTATTCGACCGTACAACCTCCCAACTGAGCTAGTAACAGTTATTCCTCTATAATTAGAGCAATTGCGTTTATCCCCTTTTTGTATATTGAGCTGATGTATCCAACATTCCAATCATCAGGGATATTTTGTCCTTTTAAGCATTTATTAAATAGTTTAACCATCATCTCGTGTAATATTTTTGGTCCATACTTTACCAACTCAATTGGGATGTCTCCAGGTCCTGCTGCTTTACCGTTTTTCGATCTTTTGAGGGCATCGCTTAACTCTCCGGTTGTTATCTCAATTATTTGTGTATGTTCAGATATTTCTTCCATTTCAATATCTTGGAATTTACGTCTATCCTCTGTCAATAAGACCTCATAATGCTGTTTCCACTGTTTCAGATCTATTAATTTTAAGTTAGATTTTTCCTTTCCTTCCCTCCGGAGAGACTTTATCACCTTCTACGCTTGCCCAACTCTTGTTCCACCCATATACCTATCCACCTCTGCACATCTTCGATCCCACATCTCATTTTTACTTTTCACTACTTCTCTTTTTACATCTCGATTTAATTTCGTATATACCTTGTGATCTTCCTCCTTTCTTTTTTTCCTCTCCTTTTCCAAGAAGCAGTTTTCTTCTTGTTTACTAACGTTTGCATATTCTCCGACCACCATTCTTGATTTTTTGTTTCATGTTTGTCTTTATACCCCAAAGCTTCACTTGCAGCCTCATGAATGTACTTTTTAAGTTGTTGGTATGATTCTTTCGCTGTTATATTTTCTCGATCCACATTTTGTAATTTTGTGGCCAGTCGTAATTTGTAAAGAAATTTTGTTGAATCTTCTTTTAAGCTTTCTAGGTTATATTTAGGAGATGTTACTTTTTGTCCCTTTTCTATATTCTGTACCTGAGTGTTATTGTTTTTGCGATAGTTAACTATCACATTGGCCATAAGTAAATGATGGTCGGATCCACATTCTGATCCACGGTATACCCTTACGTCAGTTGTTTTTTTTTATTAATCAAACTGTAAAAATCCCACAAATAAATTTTTAAAAACATTTAAATAAGCCAAGTTTACTTACCTGTAGTTTTTTCGTATTTCTAAACATGTCAAAATCCATCTCATACATTCCATTATGCGAGATATCGAGCCATTGTAAGTGCCTCAAGCTTCCGAACACATCCCTGCTGGCGTTCAAAAGTTTATTATGTGACAGATAAAGATGCGTCAATGACAATTCAACGGGCCTGAAGAATTGTTTAGAAATCGCAGAAATGTTATTGTACGACAAATCCAAACGCTTGATGTTGGAATGAACACTTCCGATGCCTTCACAAAAAGAACAGACTATTTCAGATTTAAATATATTAACCAATAAAGATACTTAAGCTAAATGGGGTTTCTTGAACATTTTATTGATACAATAATATATAAATATTGTAGGATTTTTAATATTTATATATTATATTTATGTTATTCTTAATAAAAATTAAAGAAATTACATATTATCTATATACTAATATATAATTAGTATTCTGAATCGTATTTAATGCAATTATATAAAATTGTAAGTGAATCTACTTGCCAATGCTATTTATTTATTTTAACAATTACCTTACAACTCCAGATTAATTTCATTTGACGTAAAAAAATTTTTCCTAATGTTTTTCATCGTCTGAAATTTTACATTTTCTTGAAATAAAGGCAAAGGACTATAAAGTGTAACCTCATATCAAAAATATTTCGCAAAACTTTTACTCTGATTCAGGAAGAGTAATTACCTGTTAATGTTCAAGAAATCCTAATATTTGTGCGTTTGGACAGATTTTTAGCATATCCCATTTAATAATATTTTGTTTAGTGGGATATGATTTAAATGTTCAGCCAATGTACATGTACTGAAATTAATTATCATACCTTTATGAACTCCAAGATTTTTGACCTAAATAAAAATTATTTTCTTAATAATCTGACACACTCAATTTCAAGCATAGGCAACACATAGACTATAAACATTCTGGGTTAACCGATAATAGTATAGAAGACCCGGTTTCAGGTAAAATTTAAATGTTTTCTGGTAAAATTTGTCAATCTTCATTTCTTAATGTTGATTTAATCGCGTAAAATCCAAACTCATTATAATTTTAATATTATAGATAAGGCTTGTTATCTTTGTTGGCGAGCCACAAATCTTCAAGGGTACATCGATGAGGACAGTTTCTGCATGTAAGAAGATGTTTCATATTCTGTGTTTCTCCACAGTCACAGTTCACATCATCTTGGTCTATTTTTCCCCATTTTGCCATGTTTGATTTTACTGTAGCAAACCCCGTTATTATCCTATTCAAGGTTTTCCACGTTTTAAAGTCTAGGGTTTGGCCGATCCATTGAACCTGGGGAAGTGGAAAATACTCAGGCGGTTCATCCTGCACTGTTCCAAGGAAGCTTTTCCTAGATTTTAGTCGCTTTCGTGGTGTTCGAGCTTTGTATAGGGCATGCCGATCGTCCGCGATCTGTTTAATTTTCTCTATGTGTTCTGCAGCGCCTCTGCGTGTTGAGGGTTCTGCAAAACCCGCTGCTCTATATAGATTTGAAAGTGGCGTTGGTTTCATGCACCCCGTTACTATCCTGCATGTCTCATTTAGCGCAGTATCAACTTGTTTGGTGTGGGAAGATCTGCTCCAAACGGGGAACGCATATTCAGCAGTTGAGAAACACAGTGCCTGTGCCGTTGTTCTTAAAACGCCAGGACGTGCGCCCCATTTACTTCCTGTTAGCTTTCTGAATATGCTGTTCCTAGTTGTTACTTTCCCTCTTGTTTTTATGCAGAGTTGTCTGTAGGTGAGGGACAGGTCCAGAGTTACTCCAAGATATATAGGTTGATTTGTGTGTTCTAATGCATTACCATTCCACACAATTTGGAGTTTTCGCTTGGCTTCCTTTGTGCGAAGGTGAAAAGTGCAGACTTGGGTTTTAGAGGGATTGGGTCTCAGAGAATTCTGCAGAAAAACTATTTCCTTGAGCACATATTGCAAGATCGTCAGCATAGAGGAATTGCTTGGTTTCGGTCGGAGTAGGTTGGTCGTTTGTGTATATATTGAAGAGCATTGGTGCTAAAACACTTTCCTGTGGGAGGCCGTTTTTTTGAACTCTCCACCTACTTACTTTACCCTCCAGGATAACGAAGAAACGTCAATTTTGCAGTAAGGAATATACGACCTTTCCCAGATGGTGGTCATTGAGAGTGTCGTATAATTTACGGAGCAATGTTTTATGCCTTACTGTGTCATAGGCTGCTGTCAGATCTACAAAAGCAGCCCCTGTTATAAGTTTTTCTTCAAAGCCCTCTTTAATGTGTTCTGTTAATGCGAGGACTTGACCGGTGCAAGATTTGCCAGGTCTGAATCCTCCTTGTTGTGGGATGAGGTGCTTGTCGACATTTTTTTCTATTCTGGCGAGTATGAGTCTTTCGTATAGTTTAAAAAAGTGACACAATAGCAAAATAGGTCTGTAGCTACTGGGGTCTTCTGGATCCTTTCCTGGTTTTAACAAGGCTATTATTTTAGATTCTCTCCATGATTTTGGAATTTTGCAGGTTTTGCAGCACGTATTATAAAATTGCAAGATCCAGTTTTTTGCTCCTTGGCCTAAATGCTTTATTTGTTCACTGCATATATCATCCACACCTGCAGCTTTCCCGTTTTTTAACCTGTTCAGACCGTCGTGGACGTTTTTTTTTCTGATGATTTTTCCAACGATTTCCGACGATTTTTAACGTTAAGTAGTACTGTTGTAGAGTTAATAAGAAAATGTGTCAATCATATTTTTCCAAGTAGTTGGAGAAATTTAGTAAGATATGTAATAAGGAAATAAAATTCATATGTTCATGTAGATCATAATATAATTGAACGGATCATAATTAACTTAGATGAGGAGAGCCATAGCGAAACAGACCTATGTGTGAAGTGATACTGTCATCAAATCTACAAATGTTACGATTAAAAAAACTGTTCTTTTCAGAACCACAAATTATTATTAATGTTTGTTTTTCTCTAATCTTAGCAATTAAAATAGATTTAATTTATTTTAACACTCATCAGAAAACAATAATTTCGGGTATATAAGGCAAAGCAATATAACATAATGACGGTATTAGATTTTTGTTTCGATACAGGGCAGCGGCAAGCTGCTTATACATGATACTATAACAAAATAAGATAAGTCAACGCGCATGTTCTTGTGGCGTAAGCTCGAGACAACTTTACGGCAAGTTAAATGCTCACAAGTGATCATGTTAATTATGTTATGTTAGATAATAATATATACTAATGCCCATTTTAATAGAACTTGAAGTAATACTTTATTTTTGATAGGTCTTTAAAAAAGTTACTTTAGATGTATGTAGTATGTAGTGAACTGGAACATATTTTTCGTAGTTATAATGTCGACACATTAAAAATACCAAAAAATTATTTAAAAAATTTAATAGAAGCTGCAAAATATGTAAATGTTAGCGAAGATGTAAAATTACTGTTTTTTAGATGTAAAATGTATTTTCAAATAGGAATTCTAAATTAAAATATTAAAAATAATTACAATATCCGCAAGAGAAAAATCACAAAGATTGTAAAATAAATGTCTAAATGATATTCATAAAGTCTCAAGTATGACCCGGTTTTCCTTTATGGCCAAATTCTTTACATTTGACCGGCCTTTTATATTTACTTTTGTTTTGTAGCAATATTTATTTTGTTTGTAATACACACAATCAAATCGTAGATTCATAGATTTCTGTAATTAACTTTCAAATTACTTATTTATTTTCAAACCACATTTTCACAGAAAATAAACTAGTTATGACTTCTTCGGTATGCTCAAGATGTGGCATCGAGGTATACTTACCGTTAACAGTTTAAGTTTCGAAGTTGTTCATTACAGTAATGAAACAACGTTGCCATATGATGCATCGTTAAAATTAGATACACACAAGTCCCCTAGCTTTGTCTCGCTATGACGTCTTGCGCAAAGTCGATCAAAATTAGAACGGCAAGTGAGGATATCTTGTTTTGTTATAGTATCATGCCGCTTATATGTATTTCGACCACTTTAGGTATCCTCAGAGCGATATAGCCACTGCTCTGAATCGATACAAAATCTATCCCGTCGTAGACCAATAGTTATTAAAATGAATTTACGGACGTAACAACGCCATCTAATAACAAAAAGAGAAATTATACCATTTCTACCTGGCAAAACCGAATTCAAAGCAATATATTTCCATCCGTTTATTATTATAGGAGTACCGTCTAGACAGTGTTAATTGTCAAAAGACCAACTCTGTCTACTTCGTTTGCTTATCCCTCCGGCCCTTCTTAACAATGGGCCAAGTCAAAACTATTAAAGACAAAGATAAAGGAAAGTAAAAAAAAATAATATAGCCATATAAAGATTAAAAAGTAAGGTGTTATTAAAAGAAACTGGTATACCAGAGATATAACATAAAGTAATATTTTCCAGACAATTAAAAATTATTATTTAAGAAGACTTTGGTTAAATTGTTATATCTTTAAAGCTGATATCTCCAATAAACTTAAGGTATAGTTAAATTTAATAACTTTCTTATGGTCACTCTCACCTGCACCTTCGAAAGTACTTGGTATATTAACCAATAACTCAGTTAAACTGTTATGACTAACATTCACGCAAAATATCGACAATGTTCCCACTTGATCGAACATCGTAAACTCAAAAGTTTTTATTTTGTTATAAGACATATCTAGATCCTCCAGTTCTGGCAGATTTTGAAACGTTTCGAAAGAAATCGATGATATTTTGTTGCCTTTCAGGTTGAGTCGTTTGATATTTTCTAAGTTCATAAATGCTCTTCTTTCCAAAGATTCTATTTTGTTGTCATCTAAGAGCAGTTGCTCAAGTTTTGGTAAGTGGACGAAGGTGTGTTGACTGATAGTCTTTAGGGAATTGAACGATAAATATATTTCTTCTAGTTCTTCGTGAATATCTCCCTAAAATGATAAAGAAAATAGTTAATAAAGATAAGATACAATACACAGAGTATTATTATTTAAAACTAATGGTCCGTCATTGTATAATTCTAGTTGATAAACATAAATATAAAAAATAATTTGAACCGGAAGTAGTAATACGGTGCGAGAGTTTTAAAATATAATACATGAGCATTTAGGAAAGTGGAGTTCTGTGGTGTTTGGGAGACAACTCCAAAATGCATGTTTTTCAGTAGGGCAATTTTAACATTCGAGAAGGTTTCTTAAATCGAACGCAACATAACAAGAAACAAAATGAATGTCATTAAATACTTTACTAAGTGCTATAACAGATGTAACAAATGGAATATGTTTTAACATTTCTGTTTTTGATATAATGGCACATATCATATTTGTATCAAAAATATAGAGAGGACTTAAACTAATATTGGTCAATTTCTTTGTATTGGAAAACAGTGCTGTGTAAATATATGGCTTTACTTGTATCAAGTTAAAACTTACGCGTCGAAATTTTCATCACTGTCACTTGTATATTGTGTGGTACTGGTTTTAGTGTGTTTAAGCGAATGGTAAAATCCATTACAGATTGGATCTATAAAGAGAAGTAGGTCGAGAATATCTTTATGTTTCAAATAGTCTATGGGTAGAGGATTATTATCAGCTGGAAATGTCTGAATATTAGACATGGAAGTTGACCTGCCTCTTCTTAGCATGGACATTGAACGAAACGGTTTATTGACATCTAATGTATATTTGAAGCCTATATCACTATCCTTTTTTTAATGTAGCCAAAATAGGCTATTTCAAACAAAATAATTTTTATCTTTATCAACATTTCTTTTTATAAAATGCGTTGTTAGAAGTTTGGAAAATCCGAAAAAGTCAGTTTATTTCATAAATTTTACGTCAAAACGAGGGCTCGTCATTTTAACTACTTATACCCAGTCCTGTGGAACTGAAAATGTGGCGTTTTTTTTACAAATCTCTCTATGGTATGATAGTCTGTATGACATTCTAAATGAGTATGACCAAGAACTAGGAACTTATGATGATTTTCTTTTAGTTTCCTTTTCTTCAAGTGCTTTTTAAAAACATAATCGGTAATATATTATTTCGGTTTTGATCTGTGCACGTATCAGAATAGAGGACTAGTTTTTCTACCTGTTCTGGCAAGTCTTTAATAAACTGAAATAAGCAAGATTCTCATCAGCTCCTCATTGAGCTACACCTTCGTGCCACACATAACAAGATGTCCGTTTTGTGGTGATATTGCGGATCGTCAAATTGAAAGTCCATAGCTTTCTTTTATAGAAAGCCACAGTAGATATCAAATTAGGTGTAGCCAAACACTTCTGCAAATCAAATGCAACTACTACAAGCTCCGCATACTCTCCTCTTTGTCGCCTTATTGTGTTCTATAATGAAAGGAAGCCTTATCCTGGTGTTATTGGCGTTCATTTTCTAATAAACACATCTCAATTTATTTTTGTAATACGAGAAGTTGTATTATAAGCCATGTTTACCAAATTACTCGATCGCATTTACTGCGTCATTCGCAGAAATTTAGATAAACTCACTTTATACTGACTTACTGACTAAGTGTAACTAAATAACCATCGATAGACCTTAACGCTAACACAATGGAATCGACACGTTCGTGAATACTACCAAATGCTTATGAACCAAAACGTTATTGTTTCGTTTTGTTTTTTCGTACATGATATAATATTTTAACAGGACTATACCAAACAAAATTTGAATAATAGTGACTTATTGATATTATACCAAGCCGTGGCACGTTTTCTAGACGTGATGGACATACCATAGTCAGATCAAATGAAAATAGATCAAAAACAAAATACAGTGCAGGACTTAACAAAATTTTTACTATTTTGGAGGTATCATGTTTCTCCCAAACACCACAGAGTTCATTTCACAAAAACCATTTTGTTCAATCCTTTACGTTTAATGCAAAAGATTAGATTATTATATTTATTAATAAATTAAATTACCAACATAATTATAAAGAAAAACAAAAATATTATGAAAGATCAATTACTGAAGATGGTAAAAGGAAGAATTATATAAACAAACAGACTAAAAAGCAGCCTAATAATTCTTTCAATGAAATAAAAAGCAGTAAGCAATGGTCTTCCACTTGTCTGCCGGTGGTCTCCATTTAAACAATTTTTTATGCTTAGCTTATGCATAATTAAATTGCCGAAATTAAAGAAATACCGTTATATTTTAAACGAGAAAACAAGCTTCTCCAATTTATATAGATTTCATAACATACTGAAATATCGAACAATGAAGAAGTTGACAGGGCCAAAGAAGTAGATTCAAAAACTAAGATGGCTCTGTTATTTAATAAACCACTACATACTCGTGAAGTCGAGTAATATAGTGTGAATCTTTGTATTCGAACTTCGGTCTCGTTGACACGGACACAGATCGGAAGTAGAACAAGGCTAAGCGAAGTCAAATAAAGTACCTGTCTAGACTCTCGTACTCACTACACTTTGATCAACTTCACGAGTAGTATAGTGGCTGTTTATTATTTACACTATGGATGTCAACGTTGGCCCCAACAGCGTTCGTTTAATGTGTCTGTGTTTAATTGGCGCCAATACTGATGTTGCCGTTGATGCCAACCACACATTGGCGCTAGAGTAGTGTTCCAATCGGCGTATAATTATGCTATTGGCGCATAATGTTAGCATCCTGCATAAAATAAGGTACCTAATTTTGCGTAATCTAGTAAAGCAAAAAAAAAAATAAACCAATGTCAAGCCACAGTTTATAAAGAGAGTTTTTGTCTTCGTTTCTTTTTTAAAATGCTTGTACTGCCCTTTTACACAGAAAAGTTAAGATTCCTTTAAGAAAATAAAAATTACTTTATCGAGGAAAATTTTCATTCCATGATGGCATTAAAAAACATTTTTTACGATTTACAACATTCCAAAATCGACTAAATTTTAAAATATTGTCGCTGCGAATACTAAATACATAGGTACCCATGCAACTAGTGGTCAGTGAGTGAACTGCACTAAATATTTTTCTCAACTATCACTAGCGACAGGCTGACGTCACGTTGCCATGGCAACCGTGAACGCTTATGCAGATGATTTCGCATTTCAAAAATGATATTCACCTATTCTTGAATCGTACACAGCAAGTGACACAGGTCAGGACTTGACCGTCAAATACCTACCGCACCAGCACCGCTAATAAAGCTAGCTGTCTTTTTTAATTTTTAGATTAATATAAAGAGAATACATAATTGACTTCAGAATTTAGATATAATAATGTTGCTTTTATTTTTTATTTATTTGTCTCAATTTAATTATATTTTTTTGGTAAACCTCACCTTCACCTACTTTATCTCCCCGGCCACCGCTGCTCCGTTGGGTTGTTTAGGATTAACACTCCGATACACGATGGTGGTCTATCAGAATAAAGTTTATGCCCAGACGGCTATTTCTTACATAAATAAATAATTTGCATATCTGGTTTTTTCAGTAACTTTCATGCACCCAAAAAAATGTACTTATCTAAATATTATTCAAAAGTATATGCATAAAATTTTGAAATATAGATGTTTTTGTTCTAATATACCACCGTCGCGTCGTGTGGTCATGTAACTTTTAAAATATGCACTTCCATATATCGGCTGTGAAATAAAGTCACGTTTGATGCAGAATATAGCCAAACCAGAAGGCTAAGGAATTTGAGAATTGAGTTAATAAAAGAATAAATGAGATTCAGATCCTTGACGTCAGGTTTACACTCATATGTTCAGTCTGCAGTTGCCAAATACGTCATCTCTAAAGATCTAAAACTTTAAGTATCGCTGTAGACAAAATGACGTAAAATTTGCCTTTTTGTAGCAAAAGTTGATCATATACACTCATTACCACGATAGCCGCAGCAGCTGCAATTTGTTGGCCATCTTGACGTTGGCTTATAACAGACTGATATGGCCCCAATACTCAACCCAATGTGTGGATACCAATTATATAACCTATAGATATTTCGTTAAGAACCTTTATAGGTTGATGTGATAAATAAATAAATAAAATATTTTAGTTTGTCATATTTTACCTGAAAAGTTCCTTTGTGAATAACTTCGATAGTATTATCTTGAAGCTCCAACTTTTGTAATTGGCGCAAAGAGTGGAAGGATGTATCTGGCATCATTTTAAGCTTGTTGTTACTCAAATCGAGTTCCTTTAAATTCGTGAGGACTTTAATTGCATCCGTTGGCATATTAGTTAACGATGAAGAAAGACCGTGAGATATTTTCAAATGGGTCAGAGAGTGATCAATCTGAAAGATATATAGAATATTTTAACATTGATCGATAGCTAATTTTTTATATTTATTTTATTCTACATCTATCACGTCATAATTATTTACAAAATAGGAGATAAATTAGAATAATTGGTAAAAACTTTTGATTTTGAAACTTAATCCTGCTGTATCGTTCCAGTCAACTATGCAAATATACTGTTCGGGTCAATATGACCCAACTATGGTTTACGGTTTTAAATCGAAATAAATTTAGCTAATAGTACTAAACAAAACGTTATAAACAAAAAAATATAGTTAATTAAACAAAAATTATGTTGCTAATATAAATTAAACCTTACAAACAAAACCTTATAAACAAAAATAAAAGGCATTTTTTTCTTTCCCAGAAAAGCCTAAGAACAAATACCTACAAACTTTAATTCAGTTTACAACTAGGACAGTAATAAAAAGAAGAATTTTTTAAATGTCTGTGTGACATATACAACATAAAATATTAGTCTTGTTCGTTTAGTATCGTTTTTAGAGCAAAATTTACAGCGTGCTCTTTTTCTGTTCGTGTTCTTTTTACCAGTTCTTGTGAGTCTATAGTTCTTGGTAACTTTCTTTGTAAAGGATAAGTGGTTTCACCAGTGTTTTTCCCAATTCCTAAAGAAAGTTTCGCCGTTTTGTAAGTTTTTTAGTGTTCCATTAGGGATTTATTGATGTCCATAAAACGAACGCGTTGTAGGCAGAAATGTGCAGAATATTATATCTTCTTCTTCTATCTTCTAATATCTATTAGATCAACAAGCTGATCTAAAGTATCCTTTTAGGATTTGAGATTTGAGATCTATCAAATTCTCTATTTTTAATATAAGATTGATGTTCACTTATTCTAACATTTAATGGCCTTGATCATTCACCTAAATAAAACTGATCGCATTCACAAGGTATTTTATAAATGCAATTCTTAATTCAATATGAGGAAAATAACAATACCGTACATAAAAGGACTATTTTGTCCAAAACCAAACCTAACAATTAACAAGAAAGGACAAAGATTTGCATTTATAAAATACCTTGTGAATGCGATCAGTTTTATTTAGGTGAATCATCAAGGCCATTAAATGTTAGAATAAGTGAATATCAATCTTATATTAAAAATAGAGAATTTGATAGATCTCAAATTTGTAAACACGCATGGGATAAGGAACATAGGGTTCAATGGAATAATTCAAATGTAGTCCTAAAAGAAACGGATGGTAAAAAAAGAAAAATCAAAGAAGCGGCTCTAATTATGCTAAATGAGGCCAATCGTGTCGCAAATTCCTCGGCAGAATGTAGTAGGATCTGGTTACCAATATTGAAAGAGGAAGTTATTAATAAGAAAATACCAGTATTAGTAAGTCAGTAACATATAGAGGATATATCATTTATGGTTTTTAAATAACGTAACATATAAAATCAGAATTTTGATGTTTATTGAAGGTAAACTAAATTCACGAACAAATACTTACAATGTAGGGATAGTATTATGAGATTTTTTTCCTGGTTTTTCCCTCATAATTTACAATGGAATCACTAACAGGAGAATTTTACTGTCATCATGTCATGTGTTTGTCTTTTTAAAGACGAATTACATGCTGTGATTTTTTTCTGACGGATATTCTCAAGTTAAAGTTGATTTCATATAATCAAATGAACTATCTTATAAGTAAAGTCGTCCCAGGAGCGCAACTCAACAATATTGGCAATATCATGTTAAAGTCGTCTACTTTAAAATGCATAATGTATGTCTGAATTGTCAATATAAATGAGTCAGATAAAATTAAATTATTAAAAGAATTATTCACTATGTAACAAAAAACAAAATTTGTTTAATTTACTGTTTGTATTTTGAGAACGATTTCCGAAGTGGAAATTGAAACGTCAATAAACGTATTTTTATCTTTAATTGTGGCTTATTCCCAGTTTAATAGTACTTAATATACTTAATCTTATTACAAACTTAATGGCATCATAACAATAAACATTAGGATGAACATACATCTTTGGAAAAATATTAGACAAAACCTTTTTCTCAGTACCTGTACTAGTAGAACGAAAAATAAAAACTATTTGTCGACTTAAGACAAGAAAAAAATTATTAATAACTACTTACATCAGTAAAAGCATTATTTTCAATTGTTCCAATAGCATTTTCAGATAAATCTATAGATTTTAAGCCATGCACGTGTTGAAAAGCATTATTTTTAATAGTTTGAAGATTGGCAAAGTTAATTTTTAGTTCTTCCAAGTCAATTCCAAATTCCAAAAAGTTGTCAGCGGATAAAGTTGGCTGTGTTAGTCTTGATATCGACAAACTCCTTAGGCTACGCAATCTGAAAATAGAAAAATATGCTGGTTCGTTGAAAATGATAAATATGTTGCTGATATATATTTATTGACATAATAAAATTATTAGACCTTATACATACATTTACATAGACTATATAATGAATGTATAGGTGAACGTAAGACTAAGTAAGAAACAGTGGCAATTTTTTTTTATTTAGAAATTACAGCCGCATCCACCATAATGGTTATTAGCGGCGGCTACAGAATTACAAAATTAGAGTTTATAAAATAGTCCTATAGATTTTAAGAACTTTACAATATTACTAGCTGAGAAATTAGTGCCTAATAAATTACTTAAACTGTTAGGTATGTTATATGTAACACGAGAATTGGCAAATCTATGGCATTCAATTAATAAATGGTTAACGGTTAATTGTACATTACATGTTTCGCAAATAGGTGGATCACTTTTGGAAAATAAATATGAGTGAGTAAGTCTCGTGTGTCCAATTTTTAATCTCGTTATCCTCAATTGTTCTCTTCTGTTCCTTATTGAGGGTTCCCAGGCTGCAACGTCATTTTTAATTTGCTTCAGTGATGTTTGAGAAGATTGCCATTCGTTTTTTCACTTGATTTCGAGCACAAAACTTGATTCTTTATAAAAGCTTTTATATCACTCGCGGTATTTCGATACTCGGCTTTTTCGATATCGGCACATTTAGCAATTTTACTCGCGCATTTGTCCGCACTTTCGTTGCCAGCAATGCCAATGTGGGATGGAATCCATATAAATCTGATCCTCCTAGAATTTTCTTGAGCTTGCATGAGTTCTAGTTTTATCAGTTTCTCAAGGGGACTTTTAGGATAGATCTGTTTAAGGGTTTGATGCACGGTTAGTGAGTCACTTAAGATAACAGAGTTAGGAATGTTATTAGAATTTATATGTGTGATAGCTTTAAACACTGCATAGAGCTCAGCGGAATAAATCGAAAAGAAGGTTGGGAGACGAAATTGATATGTATCGTTTGGAGTAACGAAAGCAGCACCTACTCCTTTATCACACTTAGATGCATCTGTAAATATTTTATAGCAATGTTCGTAATGCTTACGGAGAATTAGATCTAGATTATGCTTAATCTCTGCGTGGCAGTTAATATGTTTGTCGTATTGGGTTATACCAGTGTTTATATTTGGGGCATTAATTATCCAAGGAGAGGGGTTTTTGATATTGACTGGAAAGGTTATTGGGAATTCGATATTGAGACATCTCAGGTAACACCGTACTCGCTCATAGTAAGGCTTATGTTTGGTACTATTGGTAAAGAGATTTATATATTTATTAGTGAACGTATTATTAATTAGAGGTTTGTTTACATTTGAGGCTATTGACGTTGCGTGTGATAGTGTTAAGGAAATTCGGCGGTGATATAATGAAGAATCCCCACTTTCCGAATATAAACTTTCCACCGGTGATGTTCGAAATGCGCCAAGAGAAAGTCTAAGTGCTGTGTTGTGAATAGAATCTAACTGTTTTAACAATGTGGGGGAAGCAGAGGCGTAAGCGATTGATCCATAATCAATTTTTGATCTAATTAGAGTTCTGTAGATTGTAAGTAAGGTAGAGAGATCAGAGCCCCAATATCTATTCGACAGTGTTCTCATTAGGTTAAGTTTTTTATGACAACTCAAAACTAATTGTCTAATATGTTCTGTTCAAATAAGTTGAGTATCAAAATACATACCTAAGAATTTTACACATGATTTGAAGCATAGCGATGTATTGAAAAACTTGAAATTGGGATTATTTGAGAAGTTCTTTTTTGAGAATACCATACCAACGGTTTTTGTAACCGAGAATTGTTAAATTGAAATTGATTGAAAAGTTAAATTAATATCTTTGCCTTTTACATAAATCACCCAGTCATCTGCATATAAACGTGCTTTTAAAGGTTTTTGGAGGTTTTTAATTATGTCATTAATAGCAATTAAGAAAAGTGTAGGACTAATAATTAAGCCTTGACGGATACCGTTTTCTTCCTCCTGCATTTCGGAATAGTAGTTGTTAACTCTTACACGAAAAGATCTGTTTTCTAGAAAGTTCTTAATAAAATGAAGGCAATTCCCACGAATGTTCCATGAATGTAACTTTTTTAAAATGTTGAATCTCCAACATGTATTAAATGCTTTTCTTAAGTCAAAAAACACTGCGATACAATGCTGTTTTGTTGCCAGAGATTCATGGATATCACTTTCCAGGTCTAATATGTTGTCTATCTCTGATCGGTTTTGTCGAAAACCATTTTGTTCGTTTATAAGTAAGTTCGAATTTTCTAGATGCCAAGTCAGCCTTGAGTTAATAATTTTTTGTAATAGCTGGCCCATTGCACAAGTTAGGCTTATCGGTCTATAGGAATTGGGGTGTAGACGAGAGTTTTGGCTTTTGGGAAATGGGAGAATGATAGATTTTACCAAACAGATGGGTACTGGTGTCGCTGCCAAATGAAGTTAAATAATTGAAGAATGTAATTTTTAGCAGATGTGGGTAGATGTTTTAAGAAAATAGTTGGGATATCGTCAGGCCCAGGACTTGTTTCTTTTAGATCGTTTAGTGAGTTGTTTAGCTCTTGTAACGTGAGAGGAGCGTTTAATGGAATGTTATATTTTTCTAAACAGAGGTTGGACCTTTCGGCTTCTAGTTTATTTTAAAGAAATACAGGATCAAAATTTTTATTGGAAGACATTTCTCTGTAGTTTTTAGCTAATATATTGGCAATTTCTAGAGGAGAAGTGACAATTTGATTACCTATTTTGAGATTAGATATTGGGGATGACTCCTTTATGCCAGAAATTTTGCGTATTTTCTTCCATGCTTCTCTTACAGGAGTGGAGCTGTTAATGCTAGAGACATATTGGGCCCAACTGGATTTTTTGGTTTGATTTACTAAACGTTGAGCTCTAGCCTTCATTTTTTGTAGTTAATTTTATTTTCCAGTGTTTTATGCTTCTTAAATCTATTAAAAGCTGTTTTGCTGGCACGTACTGCGTCGTTATATTCAGAATTCCACCAAGGCACAGGAACATGATTTTTAATGGGCTTTATTTTGCCGATGAAGAGCTCCGCACTCTGCAAGATGATACTATTAAAAGTACCTAAAGAATCGTTTATATTATCATTCAGTATGAGACTCTCCAAAGCCTTATCTATATGATTTTCAAAATCGATCCACTTAGCCGAATTTATATTCCATTGGGCAAGAAGGTTGGGCAAGGCTGATCTGAGAGATTCTCAATGGTAATAGGGTGATGGTCGCTACCATATGTATACTCGAGAACAGTCCAAGAGAGACGCGGAGTAAGAGCTGGATCACAGAAGCTCAAATCTATCACGGGGGATTCTCCAGTGCAGATGTTGAATCTTGTGGGTGACCCATCATTTAGGAAATTTAATTGAAGATCCTGCATTACCTTTTTTAGAAGTTTTCCTCTGTGATCAGTACGCTTAGAGCCCCAAATATGGTTATGACCGTTAAAATCCAGTGGCAATTTTACTATTACTTCTTTTGACTGAATTTGATTTCACGTTCAAAACTTTTACCCAGTCGCTTTGATAAATCCTTCTAAGACGAAATACGTAAAAGAAAATATACAGAGGCACTATACGCGAAATCAAATATAAACTGTCTTCTGTATATCTTTATTTACTCGTATAAATAAGAAACATCCTTATTATTTCGTGCTGTAAAAATATGTTGTGCTGTAAACATACCTAGTATTAGAGTTTACCTTTTCAAAATATGTATTAATATTTTAAAATCTTCTTTCTGTACATTACCTTCTGAGATCTTGAAGAGAGATCGGAACATTATCATTGCCGCTTAAATCCAAGTTGTACAAAGTAAACTGAAATCCATTAAAATCTTCAATAGCATTTAATTTTTGCAAAGTATTATCCCTTAACGACAGAGACCTTAACAATTGGAATGGATGAAAAACAGCTTCTGGCAAAAGAGAAATGTTGTTGCCTGAAAGATCTAAAATTTCTAGGTATTTCTCTAAACCTTCAAATGCCGCTGGGTTAATTTGTGTCAGGCCACAGCTCCGCAAATATAGTTCTTTGATTTTTGCTTGTCGAAATGCATTTTCCTAAAAGAAAAAAAATATTAAGTATAAACTGACATAAATCAGATCTTCAAAAATGTTATAAATATTATATACCTACGATAAGAAGTATCGGAACTTGGGCAAATATTTCTTAACGGTTAGAATCTGTTAAATGAAATGAGAGTATAAAAAAGTCAATGTAAGTTCAGCTAAATATTTAAGTGCTCAATAATAAGAAATATTTGCAAAGATTATAAGTGTTTCAAAACGTTTTTGAGAAAAATTTTTTATTTAATCCACAAGGGTTTTAAGGGTTATAAGTTAGTAAGGAAGGATTTTATAGACTATACAACATGTGGCAATAAGAAACATAGAAACCAGACTAAATCATGGAATTGTGGAACCTATAAAGTTTAATAAAATTAAATAAGCAGTAACTATGCACCTTTAATCAAATATGGCAAATATAATGAGAGAACGATTATATCTATTATAGTCCTAACAGTTTTTGTGGGTTTTAGATCATCCTGTTGAGTCATTCAATGGAAATTTAAGTATTTCTTAATGATAGGGAAGTATTTTCTTGGTAGTAGTATGAAGTATTTCCTTATTTCTTAGATAAATATTGTTATGAAGGTTTTCTCTTTCTCCAATATGAGCAGAGAACCAAACTTCTAAATTATATGATAACAACTAAGTGTTAAAAAACCCCTTTTGTTAAGAAGTCTTAAAACAATAATAAATGCAGGTATAGATGCAAGGATATATACAAAAGAGTCTGATTTATGAGGTAATACAGTTTCAAAAAGACATTTAACAAAACTGAGATTTTTTATGATCTGTTACAAGGTCGTAACATAATTCCTCTCGACCTGTTATATACTAATAATAATCTGTGGAGATAGAAAATGATACGTAATAATTGGAAATTGCTATTTTTTGGAAATAAGCAAAAAATTTAAGATATGCACTTCGATTTCCACTTTCGACTTCCGAAGTCTGTAATAAATATTCCAAAATAATATTACACAAGAAACTAGCTTCAGAACAGTAATAAATGAGGAAAACTGGGAGAAGAGTTTATTAAAGAATTTATTTTCTCTTTTAATTTGTGAGCGTATGTTCATACGAAATAACAATTTTTTTTTTATACTTAAATTCCCTTAGTTTTAAATCTTTCTTAAGCAAATTCTTCTGCTACATTTCGGCTACCAGAAGAATTTCTGCAATTTGTGTTTGTAAAATTGTTGGATCTGTATCATTATGTGAATAGAAAGAATTATAATATTTATTACTCTTATCATTTTGTTAAAAAAATTAAACAGAGAGTGTAAATCCAGAAAAAATTACATTTGTGTTAGTTAAGTGATAATAGTTGGGATAAGAAGCTTGAGAAGAGTGGGAATGTTTGATATTTTGTGCATATTAGTTTTGATTTTGCAGAGTGTCATGATTTTTGGAGCAAATTGAGTAACTACGGGAATATCAATCAGCATGGGTGTGTTTTTTGCCCAAATAGTTAGAGTAAGTGTATGTGATTTTATTTTAAAAAATTGTAAAAGAGTAGACAAGAGCTAATTGCATTTAATATAATTTAGTGGTGGGAAAACCTACCGGTTATAATTTAAACTTATTTTTTACTCCGCAATAACTGGTTTTAAGTTATTTTTTATCCCGAGTAAAAGCGACTTTTTCTTTTGAAAGTACTAAATGGTGAAAACCAAATAAGTAAGTTACCTCCACATCCAATTTAGGGTTAGAAGTCAGGAATTACCTTGCCGAAATTGAAAAACTTTCTCGTTCCTGCTCTTTCTAGACTGAAAGAGCCAAACTTTTCTTATCTTCACACGACCTGGAGTTAGTAAACAATGGTTCTAGTTTAGATTCCCAATAATCAAAGCGTCAAAGTTTTTTTTCCAAATGAACTCACTCTTTAACTGCAGTAGCCTTTGCTGCCCAGATTGAATAGCTTATTTAAATCCTATTTTAATCTGGCAGTAGAGCAGAACCCGTATGCCAAGTTTGGCTTTTATGAAGAAAAAAATACATATCTTTGGTCGAAAGTTCGGCAGCAACGAAGAGACTGGTGTTATCGCTAAACGATATTGTGTAAGACAAGAGAAACCACTTAACCAACGTAGGTCCTGAATAGGCTTTATGAAAAATACTGCGTAATGGCATAATGACAAATCTATTCGGCAGACACCGTAAAAAAACAGAAAATTGGCTCACTTCAGCCACATTATTTGTACTTAGTTGTATCTACCGACTTCTACAGTTGATTCTACAAGGCAAGATTGAGGAAAAGAGATGCCCTGGACGTAGACGTATATTTTGGCTGGCCAATCTTAGAAAATGGAATGATCTAACATCTATTTTGAGCTGCTGTAAATAAAATAAGATGGGTCACTGTGATCGCCAATATCACTAGAAGATATTCACTCTTAGAAAAACATTACAAACTAAAGTGCAATGTAAATGTAACATTGCAACATGTTGAGTATTAGCTATTGATTAAAAAAACCGAATATTGGTTTTTGACATAACCGGTTTTTTTGACCGGTTATAACCGCCTGGTTAGACCGTAAGTAAAAAATCCAGTACAACCGAAAACCGATGTTTTTCCAACAACCGCTATTCCTAATATATTTGCCAGACTCGATAGAAGCAAAAGTATTGGAGTGAAGATAAGTTGTGTAAGATATAGCATGTGATTTGTCCTTTTTTAATTCAGACATATTCGTCAAGTCTGTGAAGATAATGTAGCGATCATTTCGTACTTCAACGAGTTCGACAATTAAGGGAGTGCAATACTGTTGCAATACCCCATAATACCGTTTTTGGGAAAGGCGAGCTTTAATGATATTGTATTCATTTGGTGATTTCATGTTCATTCATTCTTGTTTTTCTTAGAGAAAAATATCAATTGAATAAATAATACACTAGTGAAATACGAAATAAAAGCAATACTAAAAAATACAAAAAGAACCACTAAATTTTTATATGTATATGTAAATAATAAAAAAGGTAAACTATCAAAAACTTGTAAAAAAAGTAACGAAAAAACCTCAAAGGATTTAGTCATGGAATAAAAGGGATCAAGTACAAATGAAGACCTAGCACTGCAGTGTGGAATAAAAGATATGGATAAGACAGAAACGATATTAATTATTGCATATTCATGTGAGAAGAATAAAGGAATACCGACCACGGAGGATTGGCTATATTAGGAAAAGTCCATGTGCAAAAGCTATTGATAACAATAGGGAAGAGCAGGTTCTCATATCACGTTAAATGCCGTAACATGAATCGCCCAAGACTCAGTATTAAGTTTTTGGAAGAAATAATGTGGAGTTATACCTAGATGATCCTTGAATATGATTAGATCAGACATATGTACCTGTATTTATTTGACCAAATAAAAAGATTATTATAATACAAAAAACGTTGTTGCTAAAACAAAAAAAATATATATAATTAAAAAAAAGTTAATGAAAAGTTAAAGAAATATAAATATGAGCAATAAAAAACTGCTGGCTTAAGTTTATTAAAAGTATATACATATTTTATTGATTTTGTTAATAAGTTATACTTTTACCTTATAAAATTTGTGTTAAAGACTATAATATTATAACTGAAATATAGTATAGTAACTTACTTCTAAATTGATTATAGGATTTCCATCCAAATAAGTTCTATTCAATACATTGAAGTACTGAAATGACATTGGTTCCAGAATTGAAATTTGGTTGTAATCTAGCCTAAAAGTGTCCAAATTTAACTGATAGTTCAGATTAATCTGCACACCAGGTTCTGTTGCAGGCTCCATTTTATTGATTCTATTAAAGCTTAAATCCAGTGTTTTTAAAAGTCTCAAAGGCTGAAGAGCTTGGTACGGTATAGAACTAAGTTGATTATCAGCGAGAATCAAATAAGCTAGTCTTCCTAGACCGTCTCTAAAGACAGAAGGATCGATTTCCCTCAGATTGTTGCCTCTTAAGTCTATTGTGTCCAAATTTGGCAGTCCCGAAAAAGTATCTATAGGTATGTGGTTGATGTCGTTATCTGCTAGTACTAGAACTTCTAAAGAATGCTCGATGCCCCTCCAATTTTCTGGAGATATTTTATTGATATCGTTTCCTAAAATATTATATTTATTAAATATGTTAAGATATAATTTTAAGATAGGACGTCTTATGTGCATAGCGTCGATGAAGATATAAGAAATATGTATGGGAATACGTCCATGAAGGAGAAAAGCGATGGATAGAGATGACTGGTTAAAAATGCTTGCGAGAACTAGGACTCACGCGGATTGGTGATGATGATAAACGAGAAATATAAAAAGATAAAAATGTGTAGAAGGAAATAATGAAATATAAAGATGGAAGAAGAGAGCAAGAGATACTGTTGATAATTAAATATGTGACTTTGTCCAAATATTAATAAAGATGATTAAGAAGCAATTATAAAAACGTAACACAATTAAAATAATACCAATATTACTTAATAAGAGATATTTGTAAATAATACATACCAGTTAAGTCTAATCTCCTAAGTTTTTGTAAATATCGAATCGCTCTGTTTGGAACAATTGTTAAGGCACAGTGGCTAATTTCTAATTCCCAGAGTGATCTCTCTAAACCAATGAAAGCTTCATCCGTTATCGCAGAAAGGGGATTTTCGCTGATAATTATTTTATATAATCCTAAAAAAAATTAAAATTTGAAAAATTAGGTAGAGGATAAAATGGGATAAATATTTTAACTACAGAATTTTGATGTCAAAATGTACCGATTTAATCCTTAGCGCTTAGATAAATTATTCCTTAATGGATCATAGGGTTGTAGTTTTATTTAAATAATTAAAAAATTAATTTAATTATTATTTAATACTGCTACTCTTAAACGCAGCAAGTTATAGTTTAAAATAGAACTAAGATTAATAGTGACAGTGAAAAGATCAACGTGATCAGTGTAGTAATGTCTGGGAGCTCGGGAGACTGAGACCTCGGAAGCCCTGAGGAAGACATCAGAGAGGATGTCGAAAGCTCGGCCCAATAGATATCGACGCGGTTTAACCCGGAAGACTGGTGAGTTTAACATTAATTTTTGTAATAGTATTAATCTTAGCTCCAGGTTTTATATAAATATATATATAATATATATATATATATATATATATATATATATATATATATATATATATATATATATATATATATAATTCTTTGGAGGGTAACTTTCGGGAAAGCGTTTTTATTCAAAGTTTTAAATGTATTTTTTAATATTTTTAACATGTTTGTGACAGTGTTCTTCACCACTAGGACCAACTGAACATTTTCAATGTAGGTTTTTAAATGTTGATTTCCATCACTTGTACTAAAATAGGTTTTCCATTTAGGTGCTGATGAAGGTGACAACATATCACCGAAAATTTCACATTTAGAATAAAGTTCTACACCAAACTGGCTTATACCATCTCTAGCTGATCCTTGTTTTGACGCTTTCCCGAAAGTTACCCTCCAAAGAATTGTATTCTTAGCGTCGTTATACACACTCTATATATATATATATATATATATATATATATATATATATATATATATATATATATATATATATATACCGGGTGGTGAATCGTCAAACGGGCCATAGGAAACTCAATGGGAAATTTTAAATTGTTGAATTGCTGCTTCCCTAATTATTTTAGATCAAAAGTCATAAAAAACTATTTGTAGAGGACTAAATTCTGAATTAAAAACAAATAAAACCGTTCTACGAATCAAATTTAATGTTCTTAAAAATTTTGCAAAAAAATAATAGATTTTTCAGACAACCCCTAAAAGTTAGGCCACACGTAATACAAGAATATATAACGTGTGTGTTTTATCATATTGATGTCAGATGTTTGACAATTTGAATTGTCAATTTTTTTATTTTATGATTAAATTATAAACAATGAATTTTACTAAATACTTCTACTACTGAACAATATTACTTTCTGAACAAATAAATTATATTGTTTACAAATGGATCAATATAATAAAATGTACTCAGTTGGCGAAAAATCGCATAATGTTGTATTCAGGCAATAGCGCGGACCTTTTCCTGTCACTACCGGATCTTTATTTAACGTAAGATATTCTAATACACTAAAATTTAATTCCATGTTAAGTTATACAACAATTCAATGAATTCCAATATACCGTTACTGTGATCTTTATTCCTAATAATAATATATGATAATTTCTAAACATAAAACTATAACAAATGTTATAATAAAACATGAATAAAACATTTTTATGATTGCTCTTTTTAAGTATCATTAATTGCATAGATAAATATAATATAGTTGATTTAAATATTGTCAAATATTAGAAACGTCAATATGACAAAACGCAACACGTAATACACATTTTTTTCACGGCGTCTGGCCTGACTTTTAGGGGTGGCCTGAAAAATGTATTATATTTAAGCAAAATTTTGGAATACGTTTAAGTCGTAGAACAATTTTAACAATTGTTTTCGATACATATTTGAGTCCTCTACCAATAGTTTTTGATGGCTTTTGGTATAAAATAATTAGGGAAGCAGGAATTCAACAATTTAGAATTTTCCATTGAGTTTCCTATGGCCTGTTTGACGATTCACCACCCTGTATATATACAATATATTTATAACACATATTTAGTCGCAAGTAACAATTGTTTCAACATGGAACTGGAGTCAGAGTATTGCATGTTCTTGGCCATGTTCTTGGCATGGTTATGAAATCCTCACTGCAGTCACCTAAATTTCTATTTTTGTATACCTATGCAATTATTATCAGGATAATATTAGTTATTAGGTTTTATTGAATTATTAGAAATCTTTATTTAAAACGTAATAATTCTTTTAGTGTTACTGTTTTATTTATTCATTCTTTTTTTGTAAATAAAAATGTTTTATTGCCAAAATTATAACCCACTTTATAAAAATATGGTAAAGGTTGTTAAAGTCGTTGAATTTGGCGGTTTAATTTCTTCATATAAACTATTGGATTGAAGTGGCATTTTAGCATTGTATAATCGCATTTTAACCCAGGCACTAGGTCCAACGGGTATTCTACAATCAGTACGCCCTCAAAGTTATTTTATAATCACATCTAAATCCGGGCTCTTTTGACAAACACCACAGTGCAATGTTAATTATTTTGCAACTTATGTACTACATAAAACTCTCTTCTTACATAGTAGATGAACAGGAATGGATTTAATTTTGGTTAAATACGTTTTCCGACAAAACTCATGTAATTGTGCCATATAAAATAAAGTTGTCTAATCTAATTATGGATGAAATAATAAAAAAAAGAACTAAAGAAAGATACCAAATGAGAGAAAAACAACTTACAATAATCTGTTAGGCAGACGACGTAATACTACTCTTTTAAATTGCAGATGATTAACAACGTATGCTGCACCTATTTAATATAACCTCTAGAAAATTTAACATGTTAATTTTCCCAAAAAAGACAAAATGCATGTTACAACAACAGCTGGAAGGTCAGATAATAGAACAAATGATGGAGTTTAAATATCTAGGCATCACATTATCTAGCTACGGAAAGCTCGAAACCGAAGTGGAAGATCAAGTGAATAGAGCAAATCGAGACGCAGGCTGCTTAAATGAAACAATATGGAAAAATAAAAATATCGGAAAAAAATTTACAAAACTGTCATCAGACCAATAGTGACATAAGCGTAAGAAACAAGACCTGACACAGAGAGGACAAAAAGGATGTTAGAAACAGCAGAGACGAAAACAACAAAAATTGATGGTAAGATCACTATGGGACAGAGCTAGAATAGATATACGACATAGATTCAAGGTGAAGAACATTTAAAACTGGGTAAGAAATATAAGAGTAGAATGGAACGATCATATAAGCCGAATGACAACAAATAGAGTAGTAAAGACGGCAAGAGGCAGTTCCCCAATAGAAAGACGATAAGTAGAAAGACCACGAAAACGATGGAATGACAACTTACTGGAGGCACATTGAAAAACAGACAGAATCATGTCTATATAAAAAGAAGAAGAAGAAGCAGAAGAAAATAAAGTGCTTTAATCTCATCAAACAATATTTACTAGCAATTCGACTTAGAAATTGTTTTGACGAAGGATTCTCCAATCCAAGTCTTCGTACTCAGCCAGTTCCAACAACTGTCTCGCTACTTATGTTGTAAAAAATAAACAGTTTACAATAGTTACTGTAAATCAAACAAATCTATAAGGGAAATATTAAAATATTACTTAGCAAAGAAAAGGATAAGCTTATTTAGGTAAACAAAGGTCATTTATGTTTAAAGTTTTTATATTTGTATCAATATTGTAATGTAAACATAGCAAGAAAATAAAGAATAGAAAAAATAAGGGCTAGTAGCATAAGGGTGAATAATAATCATTATAGTAATTATTATATATTCAAAATTAAATAAAGAATAAATTCGATACAGTAACGTATACATTTTTAAATTATACAAAGAAAAACAATTTGACCCAGTTAGTTGCATGACTTGCAACAATTGTTCAAAAAGAAAATAGTCACGTTTTAATAAACATAGACCTACTCTGGAAAATATCACCAGCGCCGATGTGGTTTAAATTACGAGGACTCAGCAAAAACTCGACCTTGGCACCACAACCGGCATTTGAGAATAGGCATTCATAAAAACCGAATGAGGTTGGCCAGCAGGGATCAGTAGTATCCAGGGAGCGCTCGGGGCATTAATTGCCGGCTCCGGGAACGCTCGAATGCGGTAGCGTCCAGGGATCAGTAGTATCAAGGGAGCGCGCGGGACGAGTAGTGTCCAGCCAGCGCAGCACTATAAGGTGACTTCGAGATGGTAAAACGCGCGATCGTTTTGATTGCCGGGAGATAGTTCGTATAAAGTGTCGAATACCGGGCGAGTGAAAAGGTCCTGTCAGAACGCGATATTCTCCACAACTGAACTTGAATTCTAGAGAAACTGAAAGGCGTATTCATTAGCTAGAGCCTAATTACGCGAAGGTAACAAAAATCTATATACTAACTCAAGTAATATATAATAGTACAGATTGTCACCCCTTTACTTTCTTGCTAAGGTCTCTTCTCGTCTCCCTTCGCGCCTGAACGGATTATTATTGGTTATAACTGACAGCTTGTTAACTCAATTGTAATCACATAGTATATTTAATACATTTTGTAGACTCGAAATTTGGTTTTAATGTTCCTTCCCGGTCGATTCAGACAGAGACCAGAAGAGTACAAAAGTTCTGCTTATGCAATTATCCGGTTTCTAAAGTAAGCCCATAGACTCAAACTCTTTACAGGACCTGAGACCTAAAAGTCCTTAATTCCTATCCCAGAATGCCCTACCTTCTTGTAAATCTACGAAGGCGAGCCAGCCAGTTCAGACTAGTGGAACCAGTAAGCCTTGCAGCCGCTCGCAGCGATAAGCATCCTTTAGGTTCATATCGAGGATGTACAGTGGTGACAGCGGAGCGCCCCAGTACTTGTACAGTGGTGAAGATTTTCTCACCCTCTTGTTCCAGATTTTACAATAGGGTATACACCCCCGACTTGTACAATATTAAATTTTAACAAAAATGTACTGTATTGAGAAATATAATAATTGTACCAATTTTATTATTCTGCCAAACATGTAGAATATAGAAATATACAGTTCTTCCGGTGCCTCCGTCAGACTCCTCTTTACAACTACACTGTCCTGCAAAATTACACAGATACGTCAGGATGAACTACGTATAAGCGGATATACAGACGCACTATACGTAAAATCAAATCCTAACTGTCTTTACTTTATTTTGGTATACTCTTTATGAGTACTAGAAACCAATTCGCCTAAGATTTCTGCTTACTTGTGGAGATATGTGGTGGAATCCAATTTTAGATGCCCCATGTATCTAATTACATATTTATAAAAGTCTTTTTTGCCTTTTTTTTGCCTTCCAATTCTTAGAAGGCACAGATTAAAGCAGAAATCTGAATTTGGTTTTGACAATTAGTTTCCTGATTTATTATCAGATGTCGCTATTGCGTCCATATCGAAGCCATTTTATTGTTGCTTCTATTACGACAGGAAATATTGTTTTCATGTTCAAAGCGTTTGTAAATATCCGCTCCGAAGATTCCTTTTAGAATGAAATACATATAAGCGGATATACAGATGGACTATAATACGAGAAATCAAATCTTAAGTGTCTTTCCTTTATTTTGGTATACTCTTTACGAGTACTAGAAACCAATTCGCTAAGGATTTCTGCTTAGTAGATATGTTGTGTAATGTAATTTTAGAATTCCCATCTCTCTAATAACATCTTTATCAACGTTTGTTTTGCCTTGCAATTCTTAGAAGGCACAAATTAAAACAGAAATCTGAATTTATGTTTTTTACAAAAAACGTATTACTCAAGAAAGCAATGATGTCCCAGTAACCTATAAGCCCGTTGTTAGAACAAAAACTAAATAGGCTATTGTCAAGTAAGTAAAGTAATTTTTATTAAACCACGTACACTGATAATATCAAGCCTCTCTTCTTAGAGTTTCTGGATTAAATACTTTCCATACGCTAAAGTGATCATAAATCAGTCATATTAAATATAAAAATAGAATGTGAATTCACAGAGAAATTTTTTTGTACCGCGATCTAACCATTCTTTAGTTTTATGAAGATACTATAATTATAAGCTCCTGATATTCAATAGAAGTGATATTTTTAGATGCTAAGGCTTTATAACAGATGTAATAAAAATAAAATTATACGCATAATTTGCCACTTGACTAATTGAACGATAAAAAATATTTTAAATTGCTAAATTACTATAAATATTTTCAAGTTTTGTCAATAAATTAGAAATTAATTAAAAATTTAAAATACATATATTCAGCAGTTTGATCATATTCTTACCTGTACTTTGTAGAAAGTAAGGTTCCAAACTTCTCATCTCATTATTTTCCATATGCAACATAAACACTTTAGATGTGTTGACAGTTTCCGGTATTCTTGGCAGATGAACATCTTGGCATCGTACAATTCCCAAGTCTGGCACTGACTTGGAACAACTGCAAAGCGGATTAAAGAAGCAAGGAGGATAGTTAACTAATTCCACTTGTTTGGACTCTATCATTGAAATCCATATCATAATAATTATGCTACCAATTACTACTGCATATCCAAATTTCATAATATGTAGGAGATCCTGAAATGATATAAAAACGTAAAGAGAAAAAGAAAAAAAAAGGAATTGAACTATTAAAGAAAACGCACTTAATCAAGCCTGAACCACTTTGTTCTAATATACGTTGCCTCTTTTTTAAATAGTTTGTTCAACACTTTTTGATCTTTTTTGGTCTTCTTTCTTTGCCAAGCGCGTATTCCCATAAATATCATGTCATTATCGATGTTATCAAGGGTGTTATTTTGGGTCTTCCCTTTCTTCTCTGATCAGTGGGTTTATCAAGGAGCATTTCTCTAGCTGGGTCATTTTGTTTCATCCGCATTATATGCCCTATCCACCTCAGATGTTCTATCTTAATTTATTTTACGATATCAGGTTCATTCTCATTAGACTCCATAGATTCGCGTTTACTTTTCTTTCGAAACATCCTAACCTGTTTTCATTATTTTTTGTTAGAGTCCAGGTCTCTAAAACATGTGTTAGGACTGGGCGTGTTATTATTTTGTGGACTTTAATTTTTGTATTTCTCGATATAATTGTCAAGATAAAGAGGAGATTGAGCCCAACATAGCATCTGTTGGCCGTGAAAATTATGCAGTTTATCTCTGCAGTAGTATTAATTTTAGTGTGAAAGAGCGCTCCCAGGTATACAAATGCGTTAATTGCTTCGATGATATCGTTTTCTATACCAACTGGTCAGATTTATGGTTGCATGCTTATTTTCATATACTTCATTTTGTTGGTGTTTATTGTGAAACCCATTTTTACAGCTAATTGTTATAATACTACATACTCTTCTCGTACAGCGTTTTCCGTGCTCCCACCAATATTGATATCATCAGCATAGGCAAGGAATTGCACTGATTTATTATATATTGAACCAATGGTTGTAATTTGTGACATACGTATTATTTTTTTTCAGAGCCGGATTGAACAGTATACACGAGGGTTTTCCTGGCGCAGCCCGTTATTTGTTTTAAAAATTTTTAAAGTCCTTTACTTTAAAATATATAATGTATGTCTGAATTGTCAATATAAATAAGTCAGATAAAATTAAATGATTAGAAGAATTTTCACCAAGTAACAAAAAAAAACAAAATTTGTTTAATTTACTAATGTTTGTATTTTTAGTTGTACTTATTAAGCGGTTAGTTCGGGCCGTTAGGCCGTTGTCTGCTGAGATTAGTTCTCGACGTTTCGCCAACACTAGGGGTTGGCATCTTCTGGAGTTGTTAATGCTTCGCTTGTAAGCAGAAACTGACGTCGCGACAACGGGGTACTACCGAACTTCTTACGAACAAATCGATCCATCAGAACAAGTCAAGCCAATAGAATATATACACGCATGGAAAAAGCACTATTACGAGAACGAATATATGACACCAGACAAAATTTGGCGAAGGTTGACAAGGAGCTTCTAGATTTGTTTTACGTTTTGAGCAGCAGGTTTAAATATGAAGATTGGAATAAAATTGAATCCATTTGTTACAGGAAAATGGAAAATGAACTAGAAAGGAACACTGAACGCCAGAAAAACAAATACGAACGCTTAATCAAACATAGGGAGGTAGAATCAAAACAAAACAGAAAGAACAGTGGTCAACCTTTCAGATAAAGTTTTAACTTCAGCCGAAACATCATTGCTAGCCAGAGGGGGAAATTATGCGATTGTGCCTAAAGTTATACCCAAAGAATATATCATCACTAATATAGAGTCTAAAGGCGGGAAAAGAGGTAGCACAAACAAGAATAAAAAAGGAAAACTATGTATCCCAGGAAACAAAAAATCTCATGAGTAAAAGAAAAACATTACTGGAACAAGATAAGAGAAACACAGTAGATTACAAAGAGGTAAACAAAGCTATTAGAAGGAATATCAAGGATTTTAAAAGGAGAGTACAGGAAGAAAAAATAGAAAAACCAATTGAACAAAATAAAAACATGAAGTGCTTAAAACCACAGCTTGGAACCATACAAATTAATGGTATAAAGAACAAAGAAGGTACAGAGACCAATATTATAGAAGAATTAATACAGATAACACAAGAATATTATAAAAACTTCTACAATACAAAACAGAAACCAACCCAAGAAATCCTTAAGCAACTACAAATAAAAATAAAAAATGTTAATTCCGACTTACAACCAGAGATCAGTAAGAACGAGATAAGAAGAGCACTCAAAGAGATGAAGAACAATAAATCGCCAGGAAAAGACGGGGTGACTGTAGAAATGCTAAAACATGGTGGGAAAACAACTAGAGAAGTTTTGTACATACTTATGAATAAAATTTTAATGACAAAACAAATACCCAACAGTTGGAACGAAGCAATAACACTGTTACTATTTAAGAAAGGAGATAAAAAGGATCTAAAGAATTACAGACCCATAACTTTATTAAATGTGATGTACAAACTATTAACCAAAATATTAACAAATAGATTAACAACTAAATTAGATGGATACCAGGCAAGAGAACAAGCCGGATTTAGAAAGAGCTTCAGTACAAGTGACCACCTTTTAACGATGAAGATTTTAATCGAAAAAACTAACGAATATCATATCCCGCTATACATGGCATTTATTGACTTTGAGAAGGCATTTGATAGTGTGGAACACTGGGCAGTACATAATTCCCTACAAAACAGCAGAATAGACTACCGATAGACCGACTTAATTACAAATATATACAACAAGGCAACAACAACTATTAAGCTAATGAAACAAACGGAGCCTATTAAAATAAACCGAGGAGTAAGACAAGGAGATACCATCTCGCCCAAGTTATTTAACCAAGCGCTAGAAGATGTTTTTAAACGACTACACTGGGATGACTTGGGAATTAATATAAACGGGCAAAATCTGAATCATTTACGATATGCTGATGATATTGTATTAATAACAAAAAAAAGTGAAGAATTACAAAGAATGTTGGAAGAACTAGATAGAGAATCGACAAAAATTGGACTCAAGATGAATTACAGTAAAACAAAAACCATGATTAATCAACCAGAAGAACTTATAATTACAGTGGCACAAACAAAAATAGAACAAGTAAAAGAGTATATATATCTAGGCCAAATCACTAAATTAAATAAAGAAAATCAGACCGAAGAAATAAAGAGAATAAGATTGGCCTGGGCATCATTCGGAAAACTGTCTTATATTCTAAAGAATTCAAAATACCCCCAATACTTAAAAACGAGAGTCTTCAATCAATGTATACTCCCTGTCCTCACATATGACTCTCAGACATGGACGTTTACAAAGGAAAATATGGAAAAAATAGCAAAGATAGAAAGATCCATGGAAAGACAAATGCTGAACATTAAACTATCAGACAAAAAAAGAAACGAATGGATCCGTAATAAAACAAAAGTGAAAGATGTCTCAACCCAAGTAGCAAAGCTTAAATGGAAGTTCGCTGGACACACCCTAAGGCAGAAAGATGAAAGATGGACTAAAACAATTATACATTGAAGACCATGGAATCACAAACGTTAAAGGGGAAGACCACAAATGCGATGGTCAGATGACCTGAAGAAACATGCCAGGTCAAAATGGATGTAAATTGCCCAAGATAGAGAGGCATGGAAGAAGGAGGAGGAGGCCTATAGCCAAGGATGGATGTTAAGGGCTGTATAGAATATAGAGTCTGCGATTCGCAACTTACCAATCGAAGCAGCTGAAGAAATAAGGACAGAATCAGCGAGAATTCTCCATAAAGCTAAGATACCGAAAAATAACTTAAGCCACCAAGAAATGCGTGCCATAAAATCGTTAAACGCCGACAAAGATGTTGTAATTTTACCAGCAGACAAGGGAAACGCCACCGTCGTAATGAAGATAGCCGACTACATAACGAAAATGCAAAATCTTCTAGATCCTTTGGTATATAAGCAACTTAAAAAAGATCCCACAGCAGTCACCCTACGGAATATCAATAGACTTATCAAATCTTCGTCCATACCAGAGGATATAAGGCCAAGAATACGCAACAGCGAAGCAGTCCCACCACGCTTGTATGGCTTGCCGAAAATACATAAAGACAATGTACCTCTCCGTCCTATTGTGAGCTCCATAGGATCTCCGTCTTACAGCCTTGCCAAACACCTGGTCGATATTTTACAACCACATATAGGAAAAAACGATGCCTTTGTAAAAGACTCCGCCCATTTTATTGAGAAGATCAAAGGAATAACTTTGCAGGAATCTGACATTCTCGTTAGCTTTAATGTGGTTTCCCTATTTACAAGAGTCCCCCTAGAGGACATTCTGAAGTTAATTGAGGGACTAGTTTCCAAGGATATGGTACAATTATACCGTATTTGCCTCACCACCACCTACTTTTCATGGGAGGACCAGATTTATGAACAGATGGATGGAGTAGCAATGGAAAGCCCACTAAGCCCGGTCGTAGCCAACCTTTTCATGGAGCATTTAGAGAAGAATGTAATGGACTCAGCATACAAGCCAAGGGTATATTTTAGATACGTTGATGACACTTTTGTGATTTGGGGTCACGAAGTAGAAAAGCTTAACGATTTCCTGGCTTATATAAATACACTACATCCAAATATTTAATTTACGATGGAAACACAAAAAGATTAACAACTAGCGTTTCTGGATGTATTAGTAAATCGAAAGGAAGGTTACTTAGGACATAAAGTGTATCGAAAACCTACACACACACAGAGACAGATACCTAAACAGGAACTCAAATCATCATCCAAGCCAAAAACAAGATATCACCAAAACTTTGGCGGAGAGGGCGAAGTGAATTTGTGAACCACAACATATCCAAAGTGATCTTCTTTATATTGAAAAAGCGCTCACCTCTAATGGTTATACCATAAGAGAAATACACAAGGCGATGAACAACGTATCTAGAAAAAGGGACGAAGAAACATAATGTAAAGGCAAAGCGTTCTTGCCCTATATATGGGGGGGGGGGTAACGGACAGAATTGGGCGAATACTTAAGAAAGCCAACGTAAAGACCATCTTCAAGCCAACAAAGAAAATCAAGGATTGTTTAAGATCGGTAAAAGACAAACGCGACCCATTAGCAACGGCCGGAGTACACCGAATACCATGCACATGTGGAATGGTATATGTGGGAACCACAAAAAGATACACAATCACCAGGATAAATGAACATAAAAGCCATTGTCGTTTAGAACATATCGACAAATCTGCCGTTGCCGAACACACTTTGGGAAGCGGAGAACATCGAATACTATTTGAAGAAACACAGATGCTGGACAAAACTTCACAGTAATACCCACGGTTGTATCGGGAAGCGGTGGAAATATACAAACACCCAAATAATTTCAATCAGATAGAAAAAGGACTGAGAATTAACAAGACATGGATACCAATATTAAATCCACAAACTCCCTTCCCGCCAAACACGAAGAAATAAAAGATACTATAAACAATGACATGCCCCCTTAAGCAGAAACCCCCAGGGGGGACGAGTAGGAAATATAAATCTTGCCTCCGTAGTACAACGCGACGTCAATTTCTGCTTACAAGCGAAGCATTAACATCTCCAGAAGATGCCAACCCCTAGTGTTGGCGAAACGTCGAGAACTAATCTCAGCAGACAACGGCCTAACAGCCCTAACAAACAGTTTAATAAGTTAGACGATGGCCGTGAAAGCCTAACGCAGTTTATTTTTAGTTGTGTTACATTTACCAACTGATTTGGTATTCCTAGCTCTTTCATTGCTTTGAACATTTCTTCTAGGTTCTGTTATCAATCCATGTAGATTTTGATTCTTTGCTTTATAATTTTTCCAACTAACCTTTATTTATAATAAAAATATTATTGTTTTTTATCTTCGAATGCAATTTTGGTCAATTTGGGCTCGAATTAAGAAATGAGAGGTAATAGATTGGTAAAGTTCTGTCAAGAGAACAGTCTGGTAGTCACAAACACTTACTTTGAATTACCCAATTGTAAGATCTGCAGGCTTGAAATTGCCTACAGAAAGTATGTAATAATAATATCTTATGTCAGTTTCGGCGCTAATTGCATATTTAATCATGTTATCAGGTAATTATTGTCAATGTGTACTAGCCCTGGTTGGGCGTGTCGACAGTAATTACATGAGCAAATAAAGTCATGCCTTCCTGCTTCATATGCCAATCTCTTAGCTGCTGAGGAACGGCCGCCTCACCTGCAGATAGTGACAGGAAAAAGATTAAGAAGCGCTATCGAATCGGCAAAAATGTACCCCGGAGCTGAGGCAGCAAAAAACCATAAGGCCCAAAAAACCATTAAATACAACGTTCATTCTTAAAATATCCAGTTGCAAGAGATTATTCATTTAAAAAAGTTAACGCGGCAATATATAATCACCGATCCAAAAGAAGAGGTAAATCGAAAATAAGAAACCTTTAGAAAAAATAATATATATATATATATATATATATATATATATATATATATATATATATATATATATATATATATATATATATATATATATATATATATCCGGTATTTAGGCGGCACACGCCCTTCCGGTCGATCTATGGAGGAGTATCACCGAGCCGCAAGCCCTTATCTCTTGCCGTACTGCTCCACCATAGGCCGATCAGACACCAGCATATTCTAGTCTAAGCCGCAGATTCATTTAAACTTTTAAACTGTTGTGTTAGCCTTTTTGTTTTCTGTACACCGAGCTGGGGATCGAACTCACTTCCACTGAACCACTCGCAGTGAAACGAGTGAGAAACCGGCCGCCCAGCCTACTTGGCTATCTGACCGACTAGACAAAATTATCTGACCGATAATTTACTAACTAATCTGAATTTCTATCTGACCGATAGAAAAAATAATATTGAATACACTACAGATAATTCTAAAGAGAGAAAAAAACACTAATAAAGCAAAGTCATTGATGATTAATGAGATACTTCAGGTAATGAAAAATATAAGATTATATGTGAACATGAATATAAAAATTTAAAAAGGCATATACAATATAATTAGAAAGAAAATAAGAGAAGCCAAGGCAAAATGCTTCGCAAAGCATACGGAAATAGAACTAAAGCCTAGAAAGACATGCCAACTTCAATTTAGACAGAAAGGTGACAGAAGTGACTGGCATTAAAAATCCACCTAATCCAACCCACAATAATATCTTACTAGATGACAAATATACTATTTACTTTATATAAATAGTAGTAAAATCCATCAAAAATCCAGGCTTAAAAAATCAGAGGCGGAGTCTGTTAAGTATATCGACAGGTACCTGTACAAAAAAACTAACTTCAGACACTGCCTAAAAATATTAAAGCTAGCATGTATAAGACAATCATCTAATTTTATATCGTGATGTAACAACAATCAACCAGACCAACACACTTTTTATGAAGAAATAGTTACTCTAAAAGGACTGCACCTGATTAAGTTTACTCTAGTAATTCCGTTTAGAAATTAAAATCAGGAGAGGATTTAAGCAGAGACGTATTACGCCTCCATTACTACTCTTTCTCAATGTATATAGTTTTAGAATGAAATGTGTATCTTGTATTACTATATGGGTCTGAAACCTGGATCGTGAACCTTCGAGATGTGGTTATACCTTAGAATGCTCAAAATATCATGGGTTTACGCATCACAAACATAAAAGTCGTAAACAGAATAGATCAAGGCAAAGGTGACTTAACAAAGATCATAAAAAGGAGAAAACTTGATTATCTGGGCATATAATGAAAAGTAATTGATTCTGGATACTGTAGTTATTACTCAACAGAAAGATCGAGGGAAAATTGGTATCAAGAAATATTCATGGCTCCAAAACCTTCGTCAATGGACTGGCTTAACAGCAGATGAACTGTTATATGTCGCTCAAGATCTAGAACAATATCGGCAAACAGTCGTTGTAGCTACTTATGCCCAATTTGGGTACGGTACTCAAAGAAAAATAAGACAGTGAATACATTTTTAAAGAAAAATTATCTGAAAGTGAGTGAATATTAATTAACAGAAGAACTATTAACAACATAAGATAAGCAGATGACACCGAAAGTTCATTATCGAAAGTTCTGTTGATCAACTCCACTTATTACTAAAGAAGACAAGCAGTTTTCAGCAGACAAGAAAAATATGGACTAAAATAAATATAAAAAATACAAGATATAAGATAAAAACAAAGAAAAAACAAATATACAAGCAAACATACAGTTGGGAGATATACCGATAAAAAGAGTTAGTAGTAAAAAGTACAAATACCTGGGAATCTGGACTTGAGACAATAATGATTGAGACATAAGTGTACTCCAAAAACTTATAAAGAAAAATAAGTAACGTACATAATAAAAATTGGAATAGTTCGGAAACATAGTGAGAAATAAAACCAAATCAAAACTAATAAAATGCTTTCTGCAAGGAGAATTTTAGCCTAAGGGAGATGTCGGCAGGAAACAAAAATTTTGGCCAAAGAACTTAAGAACTTGGTTTGCAACATCCACCATCTAACTATTCAAAGCAGCAACAAACAAAATTATCTTTGCTAGAATTGCTAACATTTTTGATAACGAATAGGTACTAGAAGAAGAATTTAGTTGTGAAACCAAGCAAAAATTTAAAAATCCGAAAATATGATTGTATATCGTAGACTGTTTGCATATTAAAAATTTCGAAATCATGTAAAACAAAATTGCAATGCAAGTCATGTTTTATTCTTAAATTTCAATTATTAAATAAAATATTTATATTAGCTAAACAACATATAAATAGTTTTGTAAAATCGAATACATACCATACTTATTCCCAAACGTTGGCCACATAAACACACAAAATTCGCAGATATCCAGTCAACAATCAACTCCAACACAGCTATTACAACTGACACAAAGCTTACCAAGTAGGCGATGAAACCTTACGGGACCCTATAAGCCTCAGGTTTCCTTTAATAGGATTAAATTAGCTACCTATCGTATCGGTATCTCTAAGTTGGCAAGCCGGTAGACATATTTTTAAATTTACATCAAAGTAGGTCCCATGGGGATTTTCGAAATATTAGTTATATTGGATTTTTTTCTGTTTTAGACGAAGGTCAACAATTAACATCATTTACAGTGACCTACATTATTGTTGGGTTCGTCTATGAATTTATTAATGACTAATTTTCGTTTTGAATAATCTTAGGTAGTTCGGATGGTCGCTAGAAAGGCGTTAATTAACTACACTCGGCGGATTGTAAACAGTTTCCGCGAGAAATGAAGATTACTTGGATGATTATATTTATTTCGCTTTACGAGGAGGATGCCATATATTAAATATGTATTGATATTGCACAAAAATTTGTCTGTATATTGCAATGCAATTACAGACGTTGATTAATTAGTGTGATAAAGATCGATAGATACAATAAAACATACCACATAAAGTTACCATGAAACACCTTTTATTTTACTTTTATGATAAAATCCGCTTTACATGCGTATTGAAACAATTAACAAGTTTAAATTTATTATACAGGGTATTTAAAAAGTTATAACCAATTTTCTATAACTACTTAGTTATGACAAATTATCAGTATTGTATAATTAAAATGTGTTATTAAACAATCATGAATTATAAAGTGTTGCATTCTGCACCTACAATGACCTCTATTTAACAATTGAGACCCTTAGAAAGGGGAGAAAATGTCAATGTTCAATCTAGAACCTGCTGGTGTTCTCCTTTCGCATTGGGTATGGAATAAAAATAAATAAGCAGTAAGTGAACTATACTTAAACAAAGTAACAGAAAAAAAAAGAATAATATATATATATATATATATATATATATATATATATATATATATATATAAATTTACTTTTAGTTATTATCACCTATAAAATTACTAAGTAAAGTAAAAGCCTAAACGCACTATTCAATAAGATATATGACACAGGTAAAATACCAACAGACTGGCTAAAATCAACATTCGTAGCATTACCAAAAAGATCGAATTCCTCACAATGCGACAATTATTGAATATTAAGCTTGATGTCTCATGTCCTTAAAACTTTTCTCAGAATTATCCATACATGAATTTACAAGAAGTGCGAGTTTCAGATGAGTGACACGCAATTCGGATTTCGAAACGGATTGGGAACACGAGAGGCTCTTTTTGCTTTAAATGTGTTAACGCATGAGGCATGAATGTAAATGTATATTCATGTTTTATTGACTATCGAAAAGCATTTGACTGTGTTAACCATCAAAAGATGATTGAAATTCTGAGAACAACTGGAGTTGATGAACAAGACTTGCGAATTATCTCACAACTATACTGGCACCAAACGGTAACAATTAAAATAGAGCACATAACATCCGAAGATATACAAATCCAACGGGGAGTGAGACAGGGTTGCGTCTTATCACCGCTACTGTTTAATTTGTATTCGGAGTCTATATTCAGAGAAGCATTAGACCAGGCCCAAGGTGGAATTAAGATTAACGGAATCAGCATAAACAACATCAGATATGCTGATGATACTGTCTTAATAGCAAGCAACGCACAAGAACTACAAAATATATTAAATGCGGTAATTCACCACGGCGAAATATTCGTTTTACATCTAAACGTTTCCAAAACTAAAACTTTAGTATATTCAAAGACACCAATAAACATACGTGTGTATGCCAAGGGTCAAATGATAGAACAGGTAAATTCCATGAAATATTTGGGAGGAAATATCAATAGTCAGTGTAATCCAAAAAAAGAAATACTATCAAGAATCGAACAAGCAAGGAAAACATTCATAAGCATGAAAACATTTTTTACAAGATCAGACCTTAGTCTGCAGCTTAGAATCCGAATGATTAGATGTTCCGTTTTTTCTGTCTTATTATATGGCTGTGAAAGTTGGACAATGGACTCTGAAATAGAAAAAATAATAGATGGCTTTGAGATGTATATATACAGACGAATATTGAGAATTCCATGGGTACAAAGAGATACTAATGTTGAGATAATTCGTCGAATGTGTAAACAAAAAGAATTACTAAGAATAATCAAAGAGAGGAGAATTCAATACTTGGGTCATGTGTTGAAAGGCGAAAAATATGAATTACTTCAAGTTAAACTGGAAGGAAAAGTACAGGGCAAAAGATCAGTAGGAAGACTCCAGAACTCATGGCTGAAAGACCTGAGGAGACGGTTCGACCGCTCATCCGCAGAAATCTTTCGCGCAGCAGTTTCCAAAACCACAATTGCCATTTGGATCGCCAACCTTCGAAAGGAGACGGCGCCATGAGAAGAAGAAGAATCCAAAACAAAATAATTAATTTATATCATATGCGATTTTTCATTGCGAATACCTGGTACAAACTGCCACCTCGGAGACTTTACACCTGGCAGTCTCCACAACATACGCATGACTACAACGTAAGAAATCAAATTGATTTTTTATTGAATAATCAGAGATACAGAAATGGATTGCAAGGAGTAAAAATATACCTTGGAACAGATATCGGATCTGATCACTATCCCGTAGTAGGAAAATTGAAAATTAAGTTTAAAAAAATTTAAAGAAAATCCATAAAGAAAATTGATATAAACAGCTTAAATAACCTAACGTTAAAATAAAAGTCACAGAAAAATTCAATGAGGCAATAGCGGATATCACGGCAAGATCTAAACAACCGGCCAGTATAGAAGACAAATGGAATTTTATTTAAAAAGCTATCGTAACCACCACCAAGTCTCTAATCGCTACTCAAAAGGAAAAAAGAAGAATTGAATGACTGACGAAATATTATCAATGATGGACAAATACGAAAACAGTGTCGCAAAGCTAAAGAACAGTGACTGCTAGACGCAGGTGTGCAGAAATGGAGGAATTAGAAAAAAAACATGACCACTTTAACATATATACACTCATTAAAGAAGTGACAGGTCATACAAAACCTTGCAATTTTAACAGTATTGTGAAGGATAATAAATTAGTTACTGTTCCCAAGGATCTACTTTAACATTGGAAAAACTACACACAGCAACTACACTCAAACAACACTAAAAGAAACTCTGAAAGAGCATATAAAAGTAAGAATAACAAAGCGAAACGCTAATAGTTGCGACCAATTCCAAATAATCAGCTTATTGAGCCAGGTGTTAAAACTCTTTTTAAAGATAATTCACACAAGAATATGCAACAGATGTTAAAGAGACATGTGGCTTTATCGCCGTATCCTAAAAATACCATGGACAGCGAAAATCACAGATATAGATGTCCTTAAAAGAATAAACCAAGAACGCCAACTTTTCGAAACCATCAAGAAAAGGAAAACGGCGTATCTAGGTCACATCATGCGAAATGAAAAATACCAGTTCCTCCAACTTATAATCGAGGGTAAAATTGAAGGCAAGAGAGGAATGGGACGCAAGAAAATGTCCTGGCTCCGAAACATAAGGCAATGGACAGGGATTAATGACATACAATCTCTGATACATATTGCAAGAAATAGAGAGTTAATGGAAAATGTGATCGCTAACATCCATTAGTGGATTTGCATCTGAAGAAGAAGAAGAAGTTAAAGAGACATTAGCCCCACACAGTTTGGTTTTAGACAGCATCATATTCTGGCCAGCATCATTTTTGAAGAAGTAGGCATAGTCTAATGATTCCACCAGAGCATAAAGCACTCCAAACAGTCAGTTTTTCTCAATGTAATGTTTTCTCAACATACATTTGAGAAGTATCTTAACTCCAAATAGGGTAGTTTTATTTGTTGACGTAGCCATTCGGTCAGCCAAAAGTGAGCTTTATCGTTAAAAAAAATTCGCTTATGAAAATCGGTACCTAGGGCAATCTCGTTTTGGACCCACTCACCGAATAAACGAATCTACGCCTTGCTAGGTAATGATGCACCTTTAATTCTTGCATAAGTTGCGTGGTTGAAACCACGTAAAGCAAGATCTTCCCGCAAAAACATATATTTGATGGACACGTATCGAACCGCTGTGCACGATGGCAGATAGACTGATTCAGTTCTTCATATTGTATGCTACACTACAGCAACTTCTTCTGTACGCACTGTACTACGTATCTGTGGCTGCATATTATCATTTAGAGTGAACGTGGTGCCAAAAAGCTCCATTGGTAATCGAATTACTTGCCCTGATGGACTATTATGTTGACCATAAGATTGACATAGTGCACGATACTTATTTTGAACAGAATCACAATTTTCAAAATAAATTTGTACGATGTAGAAGCGCTGCTCAGGCGTCAAATCTATTCATGCTGAAATGCCAAATAAAACTTAACATAAATCACTTTACAGCTGTCAAAATGGCCATTCGTTAAAAAATTGCTATCAAGTTATATTTCTATATCTCTAAAAAACACCCTTATATATATATATATATATATATATATATATATATATATATTGTTATGCTATTTAAATTGTATTCTATTGCTTATTTAGAAAAGATCCTGTCTATATTTATTAAATGATCTAATCTCCAATTAATCACAATAAATCAGCATTAATTAATTACAATCTCAGGCTATTTAACTTGTACTATTTACCTTTGATCGTGGATTCAAAATATTTTCCAATTGGCTTCCTAATTGGGATAGGTAATATGACCTGAATAAAATACACAGAATTTCAACTGAAGTATATGTGAGATGTCCTTTATTTTATTGAAATTTTATATAACAATCAATCCGGTAATATTTGCAATACAATACTTCAAATATATGAGAAGTTGTTTTCTATCATGGACCCAAATGTTATTTTACATTGATTTTTAATATGTGTTATAACTAAGCTCTCTTTATAATTTTTTCTTTTTTAAATGATCGCAAAATTAACTGTCTCTATAATTTATTCAATTTATTTAATT